CGTCCAACGTGTGGCGCTGTTCGGCGACGGCTGCGCCACGTCGTACCCGAGCGCGAGACGGCCGACTTCCACGAGACGCTGCGCCTGCTCCGCCTCGTCGCGTCGGGCGGCATCCACCGCAACGTGGGCGACACGTCGCTCGGCTCGTCGCACACGTTCGCGACGCAGACGTCGCAGGCGACCGAGGCGTCTTCGGCGGCGCCCTCGTCGGCGGCGCTGGGCGCGACGGCGCCCTACACGCCCGATACGGCCATGACGGCCTACGTCGTGCTGCGCATGATGAGCACGCCGTCGCCGCACCAGGTCAATATCGAGGAGCTCAAGATGGACGGACATCGGTGGTGGGCCGAGGCGGGCAGGGAGGCGTACGAGGTGGCGACGCGCGCCGATGCCATCGACGACCGGCCGTCGTCGGCCGAGATCCCGACCGACGGCCAGAATCTGGCGCGGAAGAGCATCTACGGCATGGTGTCCAAGCAGCTCTTTACCCTCAAGCGGCAAAAGGGCGTGGGCACCATCGAGTTTGCCCGGTAGTCGCGAGTCGAGCCCAGGGGTTTGGTGGTGAGCAGCGCAACGCAGTGCGGTTCGTCGTTTTCGTGTCGTCATCGTCTTCATTGCCGTGCGATCGCTAGTGCCGCTACAGACGCTGCACGGCCCTACGCCCGTCACTTGGGCTTGGCCAGGTCCATGGCCACCTTGACGGCGCCTAGGAGCGCGGTGAGCTGCAGCTTTTCCGAACCGCCCGTGCTCAGCCGGTGTCTGCAGGGGAGAAGGGAGGCACGCAGGGAGAAAGAGATGGAGACGGAGGAAGACGGGTAGACGGGGGGGGGGCATCAGCAATCTCGCTTTGTTGATGCTGAAAGCCAGGTGCAGAGGGGAGAGCGGACTCACTCGGTGTTGGCGAGGTGCTCCAAGAGGTAGACCCTCGACTGCCTCGGCAGCTTGATCTCGGTGAGGAGGTCGTAGATGCCCGAAATCATGTCCGCGAGCGCGATGCCCTTTGCCGTCTTGAGCGTGGTGACGTCTAAGAGAGCGGAGCAGAGATCAGACGACGACAGAATGGATCAGCTTCGAGCGCGGTCGAGCGCGGACCCGGCGGCAAGGGACGTACTGGTGTAGGCGGTGGTGAACTCGTCCTGCATCATGCTCGTCAGGACGGCGCTGACGTCCGAAGGGTGCGGGTTGCCCGTGCAGTTGTACACGGCCGTCTCGTCGATGGTGTCGTTGGCGGCGTGGCAGGCCTGGAGAATGTTGAGCGCGCGCCGCATGTCGCCCTTGGAGAGCTTGAGCAGCGCCTCTTTGCCGTCGGCCGTGATCTTGCACCTGTGGCCGTGCCGGGCGGTCGGGATGACCTTGGCGTTAGCTGCGATCAATCGTTGGACCGTCGTGGGGAGGGCAGGCAGCGACTCGACTCGACTCGACTCACCCTTCCGACTCGATGACGTGCTGCAGCCGCCCCTCGACCTGCTCCATCTCGAGCGGGTTGAAGCGGAACCTCGTGCATCGACTCTGGATGGCCGGGATGATCTTGTTGACGTAGTTGCAGATGATGCAGAAGCGCACGTTTTTGGTGTACTGCTCGATGACTGCCGGGCGGGCGGGGGGTCGGCAGCAGAGGCGACGGGTAAAGACGCCATCAAACGGGGCATCAGCGGTCGGCGAGCATGCCTTTGACATGGGCCCGACAGCGGCGGACTCACCTCGTCGCAGTGCGCCCTGCGCCGCCTGCGTCATGGCGTCGGCCTCGTCGAGCACGATGAGCTTGAAGCCGCCCTTGTTGCTGGTGGTGCGCGGCGAGTGTGGAGTCCAAAGATGGAGAGCGAGCGAGCAAGACGGTCAGGTCGATGGTCCCCCTCGTCCGCCGACGACAGACCAGCGCGCGGACCCACCTAAAGACGCTGCGCGTGCTGGCAAAGCTCTTGATCTGCTCCCTGACCACCTCGATGCCGCGCTCGTCGGAAGCGTTGAGCTGCGTCCGGTCCGGGCAAAGGTCAAGGTGTTGGCGAGGCCGTGGGTTGCCTCTGGGTCAGTCTGCGCCTCTCCGGTGCGCGTTCCTCGCTGCCATAGCTTCGACGCACCTCGAGCACGCTGTTCCGGAACTGCGGGCCGTAGATTTTGCGCGCCATGGCGAGGATGGTCGATGTCTTGCCCGTGCCGGGCGGGCCGTAGAAGAGGAGGTGCGGCAGGCGGTTCTTGGCGATAAAGTTTTGGACTGCCGGAATCGAGTGTGAGGAGAGGCGAGAGGGGTAAGCAGGCTGTGCGATCTCTTCGCTACCGCAAGAGGGCGGGCCGACGCAGGAGACGCACTGGTACCGGTGATGTCCTTGTGCGAGACGAGGTCGTCGAGCGTGGCCGGCCGGTACTTTTCCACCCTGGCGTCGTAACAGTGGCGCAAGGTCGACGGTGTGAGCAGCGGCGGCGGTCGAGCGGCTAGCACCGGCTAGGACATACCATGGTAGCAGGTCGATCTGGGCCTCGCCGACGGGAGGCATGGCCTCGTCGGACGCCTTTTCCTTTCCCTTGGACATCGGTGCGGTGTGGGGAGCGGTGGACGAGCTTGACTGCTGCCCTGCTGGGGATCCGAGGGGCCGTGTGGGAATAGGAGTGCAGTGAGTGGTTTCGGCAGGGGTGGCAATGGCGGCGGTGGTGATGGTGGAGGCGGTGGTGGAAGGAGCGCGACAAAATCGACCCTGGGCAAGGGTCGACCTGCTTCTGGGCCCGCGCTCGCTCCACACGCGTGGCGTGCGTCTTTCAGCTCTACGCTACAAACACCGGGCGCGTCGCTGCCCGCGCCCTCTGCCTGGCCTGTCGGGCAGCAGCAGCAGCAACAGCAGCAGTGGGCAATTGATCACCACAAAGACCTGACCACTGAGCATCATCCGCCTTGTGCAGAGACTTCTCTCCTCCCTAAACAGTTGCTGATGCAAGTGCTGCATGCCCCTCTTTGAAGAGTGTCTGATTTGCTCACCACAAGCGCCAGACTCGTCCGTCCGGCGGCCAGCACCGAGCTCTTCCTTCTTGGCAGCCCCGTCGACTGGTACCAATTTTACAGCTCCCGCCCCTGCATTTGTCAAAGGTGAGGGTTAGACAGAGGCTCCGGGTGGTCCTTCCGGTCCGGTCCGTATGGTAGTCGAAGGGGCTCAAGCTCGCATGCCGGCGCGGCATCAGGTTTGGCCATCTGGTCCCGGTCCTTTGTCCGCGCAGTTCATTTGCTCCTGCCCAATTCTGATGGCCATGGTCGAGCACCTGGCCGCCAGGCCTTGCAGCCTTAGCGTGTGGACGAGGGACGGCCAGGCAGCTCCTGGACGCAGCGAGGAGGGGCCATGACGTCCGATTGTTGGAACATCCCGTCCTGCCATACGGACGATCTAGCTTTGTGGTTTTGTCCCGGCCGGGCCGTTGCAGCAAAAGGACGAGATGATGGTTACGACGATGTCCATCTGAACCGCAGTCGATGCGATCAAAGCCTGTGAAGACCGTCTCCTGCCATGCCCATGCTCTTCGGACCGCGACAGCGGCGATCATGGCCAGGAGATAGGCAGCGACGAGCGGATCGATCAACCCGGATCGCCCTCATCCCTGGCGAGGCCCGGGCGTCGCAACACAGGCCCCTCTGAGCTGTTTGTTGTCGTCGAGTGGGAAGAGGGCAAAAGCAAGCAGGCACGCCAGCAGCAGCAGCAGCAGCAGCGCGCCGTCGGGAGCGAGAAAGTACTGCCCAGCCTGCCTGTGGTCTCCTTGCGTCGATGGTGCTGGGAAGCAAAGACGCTGCCTTTGCCTGTCAACGACGACCAAATCCCAACCGAGGCCCGGCCGGAAGGGGGTTCAAGAGGCTGGCGTGGCGTCCGGCGTTTGGTCTGCCCGCTCCTCGCTTGTCTGTGGGGCCTTTCGAGCAAGCAAGGCGCCTTGCTCACGGCGAGCTGGCAAGTTCCGACTGAGCGAGCGTGCACGTACAGCGGATCTGACATGGGCGCGTTCGGAAGCGGCGGCGGCTTGGCTCTGCGGCCCTGCCAGGCCCTGACAGGGCAGCCTTGAGTGCCAAGCGCTGAGCACCTACTCTGTACGACGCACGGCAAAGCGAGACGACCTGCTGCTGCGTGCTCGGGCGCTGGGGTCCTTCGCTTCGCTCACGGTACCGAGTGCGATCGCTGGGAGCCTCCGATGCTGTCGGAAGGAGGGGACAAAGAGGACCGAGGATCGGGACGGCGGCGCCGCTGATGCCGTACCCGTCCCTCCTTCTCCTTCCTGGGCCATTCCCGGTCGTCTGGCTGTCGAATGAGAATGCAGCTGCGGTGGAATTGGCGGCGGGAGGCGGCGGGGTAGGGGGGGCTCGAGCCTCGGCCAGTGCAGCCGTGATGTGAAGGTCAACGCGGCCCGCGACGGGAGTAGTAGTAGTGAGGCAATCGAATCCGTCCCTGCGTCTGGGCGTTCGCGAGAGGACAGGCCGGCGCACGGGTTCTTGGCAACCAGCCAGCCATGCCATGTGTGCGTCTGCCGTCTGCGTCCGAGGTCGGGTCGGTTGTCTGGGCGTTGGGCGGCGGAATCCCTGGCATAGGATGTGGCGCTCCCGTTGGCGTTCGCGCCCTAGCCTAGCCCTGGCCTGTCTCGACTCGCCCTACCCGCCTGCCCAGCCTATCCCAGCCTCCTCGTCAGCCGTCGCCGTTGCGCAGCCTTCTTTTGTACTCCGCATGATACGGTACCCCTCATCGCAAGCAAGCCTCAACGCAACCTTCCAGCTCGGCCGTCGGGTCATCTTGGCTCCGTACGTGCCTGACTACGCTCTGCCTCTTGCCCTTCCTCAGCCTGCTTGCTTGCTCTCCCTCTCCCTCAGCGTGTCGCGATACCCTTGCTTGTCGGCCCATCCATCCCATCGGCCTTCCCCGTGCCGCCCTGTTGGACACGCTAAATTCGAAACGCGGGCCCCGAAACCTTGTACGCCTGCCTGCCTCGAGCGCCACCCGAACGCGCCGCCGCTGCCTCAAGCTCTCCCCCCCGCCAGCAGGGACAGGGACAGGGACAGGCGAAGTAAGTAGCTTTTCATGCTCGGGGCCTGCTCTCGTTAGGGAGAGAGCTTCTGTAGGTGGCGTCGCTCCCATGCTAACTGTGTACTGCGATGCCAATGCTTGAGCATGGCTGCAAAGGCATGGGATCCTGGGAGCAAGGTAGAAGCGATGGTTTGGTCTCATCGTCCTTTGCTCCCGTTGCGCTCTCTGTTGCTCCTGCCTTTTGCTTTGAGCCTGGACCCCTTCTCACCATCACGAAGTGGTTCGGACCGCCTCTGTACTTCAAAGGAGGCGGCAAGAGGGTCGAATTGTCCGTGTGCAGGCGTGTGGTACTGACGTCGCTCGTTTCCAAGCCCGAACCCGTACGTCGTGGCGCCTCGCTTCGGCCGGCCAATGGACACAAGGGGCTGCGGGAGCTGCGGGAGCTGCGGGCGGAGTGGTGGCAGACTGAGGGTCGCGTGAGGAGATGCTGAAGCAGGGAGTGTGAAGGAGCCCTCCCGCCAATTGTCCTCCCGGCTCTTGGTTCCTCCGTGCTCTTGCTGCGTGCTCGCCGCGCCCGTGATGAGGTCGCATGTCGACCTGTCTCCCATCACGGGCGCCGTCGGCCCTGAACGCTGCCGCTGCAGCGTTGCAAAGGCGCAGCCTCTGCTTTCCCAGAGACTCGGACCACACCGCATCGCCGCCTCGGAAGGCGAGGTTGGAGAGCGTTTGAGGTTGATGGCGCAGCAGCAACTACTCGCAGCGGCTCCCGACGACCTGAACTCTGCCCTTGCTCACGGCCATACCCTTCGGTTGGTCCACGTACCTAGGTTCTTCACCCGTGCCAACCTTCTCACGCAGCCTGGCTGGTTTGGGGTTTGCGCTGCCCACGCCGAAGCGTACGCCTCCTTCGTGGGCTCCTTCGACCCGGTCTGGGCTCCATGGCATGACCGTTCCTGGCATGGTTCTCCTCCCCCCCCCGTTCCCCTTTCCTCCGTGCCCGCCGCCCCCCGTCTGTCCCTCGCTTGCTCGGTTGTCAGATCCCCGTACAGGATCAGTGTTGATTCCTGGCCCTCGAACGGACAGACGAGGCAAGACGAGACGAACCTTGTGCCAATCCCGTCGTCCGCAGAGCAAGATGCCGGCAACGCGGATGGTTTGATAGGCCAACGGGCGGTCCAGGCGAGGACGGAGAAGAATTCGGCGGTTGCACAGCTGGAGCATGGGAGTCGCCGTCGACGGATCGACCGGTCACCATGCATCCAGCCTGGCTGGCCGGCCTGGATCAGTCTAGCCTCGAGGGGTCGTCCGCGCACGAGCGGGAGGGAGGGCCTGGACGTGGCCGCCACAGCCACGCCCGGACTGGGGCCCAGCGCCCTCGTTGCCTACTGGCTCTCTCGACCGTGGCCGGCCTCTATCCTCCTCGCCTGAGACCCGTGCCCGTGCCCGTTGTCGCAGCGTCGGGGCTTGTCGAAGAGCGCTTGGGCGCCGCCGGCCGGTGGGCCGGTCAGTCGACCGCGCGCCTGGCCGTTGAGGGTTTGATGGTGCTGGACGTCCGCTCGACTGCCACCGGGTGTCCATGTCGATAAAGGTGGCCTGCCTCTGAGGTGGTATCGCCTTCCTAGACCCCTCATCCTACTCCACCGGTTCGCCCTTCCCTCTTGCACTTCCACCCGCCCTCTTCTTCTCCTGCTTTGGACCTCACCGGCGTCCCTCCTCGCCCGCTTCCTCGCCGTCGCCTTCGCCTCAGCTACGGCCCAAGCCCTCGCCCCGCTCCCGCCATGGTCGATTGGGCAGCCCCCGCGGTCAACGGCCGTGTCGTGCTGACGATCCAGGCCGAGATCTTCATCTGCATGGGCATCTTCTTCACCGACAATGTCCGGTTTGCGCGCTTCGACTACTCGCTGCTCCGCGGCCGGCGGAGCCACCGGCTGGCGCAGATCCCCTACTTTGCCTCGAAACTCTTCTGGTGGAGCTACATGGTGTCGTGCCTCGTCTTCCTCTACACCTACACCGAGATCGACTGCGACACCGTCATGGCGTGGATCGAGGCCCAGATGGGCTGGGTCGCCGTCGCGTCGAGCGCGCTGCTGGCCTGCCGCGCCGTCTGCGTCTTCTCTGGCCGCGCCAGGACGGCCGTGTCGGTCGCCCTCGTCGTCCTCACCGCCGGCACCCTGGCCGCCTGGATGGCGGGCGTCAAGGACGTCGTCTCGGTGTGGCTTCCGGGCGCCGGGCCCGAGTGGGTCGACGGCCAGTGCTCGTACGTCTCGGTGCACCAGCGCTACATTGTCAAGTACCTCATCACGACGGCCTACGACCTGGTGGTGCTGCTGCTCACCGTCTTCGGGCTGATGAGCTTCAAGGGCGGCCCGTGGATCGGCCAGCTTCTCATCGAGCAGGGCATCCTCTACTTTGCCGCCACGCTGCTGGCCAACATGGTCGTCACCGCCCTGACGCTGGCCAACCTGTCGCCCTCAATGTCGCTGGCGGGCGCCGTGCCCTCGTCGCTCGTCTGCGTCATGTGCTCGACGCGCCTCTACGCCCAGCTGGCCGAGGAGGTCTCGAACCGCAACCAGTACGGCTCGGCGGGCGTGTCGTCGTTCAACTCGCGCAAGGCCAAGCTGTCGGGCACCTCGAGCGGCTTCGCCACCTCGTCGACGGGCACCGGCAGCAAGCAGGCCGACAAGGGCCCTACGGTCATCATGCTCAAATCGGTCGACAACCGTAGCACCAGCGGCGACGACGAGACGCCCGCCGAGGTGGCCCACTTCACAAAGGTGGACGCGCACAGCGCCTCGACCGACGACATCGAGGCGCAGCAGCACCGCATGGGTCAGCCGCATCCCTACAACGGCGTATGGATCGAGGAGACGACCCACCGCAGCGTGTCAGAGAGCTACCCTTGAGTCGTTGTCGATCTCGTGGCTGGCTTGGCGCTGTTGTCGATGTGCGGGTCCTCTTCGCCCTCCTTGCTCCTATGTCTCCGTTCTCCTCTCGCTGGTCCCCGCTCCATTGTCCCATGTCCTGTTCCGGTCCCTGCTGCTGCTTCCCCTCCGGCATGCTCTGTAGTCACGCTCCTTTCCCACCTCGATACCAGATCGCCCCTCTGCTCTCGTCTGTATGCTCCTTGCCAACGGATTCATTACCAGCTGTGATCGACTATTGAGGCCGTTGGCGAAAGAAACTGCAGGGGGGAAATATTCACGGTGGCTGGGGAGGCGTTGGTGGTGGCGGTGACAGCGAGGCGAGCCGGACGGAACTCGGCATTAAATTGCGCCCGCCGCTGCACGGACCCTGAGCTCTGTTGCGCCCGCCGCTGGGGCCTTGCCTTCCTCGCCTCGCTTTGCCCTGCCGGCCTCTGCCTGCTGGCTGCCGTGGCGGTGCAAGCTCACCCGCCCACCATCACCCTCGCCTCCTCCCTCGCTCCCTTGCGTCGCTCCCTATCGTCTTCCTGGTCAAGTCGCTGCAGCATAACTTATCGCCTGCCTCGCCTACCATCTGTCGACTCGCCTCTCTTCGCACTGGTCCCACCAGCAAAAGCTCGTATCGCGTCCCGCTCGGTGCAGCCCTCACCACCCTCCCCTCGGTCCCCATCTCACCATGGACAACTGGAAGCCCTACCTGCACACGTCGCTCTTCGGCACCTTTCCGGAGGGGGGCGAGCCGTTCCTCTTTCCTTCGTTCATCGTCGACAGCACTGGAACCTACCTGGGCAGTGCCGTCTTCACATTCGCCATGGGCCTGGCTGAACGGTGTGTGCCTTTCGCTGTCGACCCGGTCCGATGCCTCTCCTCGCGCCTGCTGACCCGACGCCGACCCCCCAACCCTTCCCTCGGATCGAGGCCAGCTTGATCACCTCGCTCCTCGACAGCACCCCGTCTCATCGCCCAGGAAGATCGAGACCCTACCTCCGTACGCTCCTCTTCTTCCTCGCCACCTTGCTCCGCTACCTCCTCATGATCATCTCGATGGGCATGGACTGGTTCCTCCTCCTCACCATCGTCTCGTCCCTCAGCCTCGGCCAGCTCTTGATCGAGCTCCGGAGATCAAACGCCCAAAGCGGCGCCGGCCAGGGCGGCTCCCGAGCGAGGGGCGACCACGTTCTCCTGCGTGAGGTCGAGATCGACGATGCCGACGCCGACGATGCCGAAGATGAGCACAAGGCCCTGGCGAGATAGAATGGCACGGGTGCAGAGGCGGAAGGGCACAGAGGTGGGCGGACAAGAGCGTCTGCTTTGCTCGCTGCACCTTTCGCAACCATTCGAGCGAGCGCGTCATCACACGGCAATAGACTTCTCGGCACACCATGGCCACCACGTTGCAGGCTTCAGGGGGTCAGGGCGTGTGACCCATCCACTTGTCATTCCCTGTCTGGCGATCGGGACGGCGACCGGGACACGTAGCCGCCGTCGTCTGCCTCGGGTGGGCGCTGACGATCCGGGGAGCGGGAAGGGGACCTCGATGGCGGTCGCGACACCCATCCTCCTGCCGCTTCGATTTCGCCGCCGTCCTGCCCTGACACCCCAGGCGGCGATCTCGAGCGTGACCTCGATCTTGACCTCGACGGGCTCCTGCTGATGTATCTTGCTGGTGCATCGTGCGACCCCCGCCGCTGGACGCGGTCCGGGCTGACGCTCCTGCTCGGGCTCCTGCTGACGTACCTCTCCCTCGCCGCTCCTGCCTCTTCGTCGTCGCTGAGCTCCTGCGATGCGTACTCGATCTCCTCGCCCTCTTCGAGCGCCCCCTCGCCTCCGCCGTCGCGCTCCTGCTGCAGCCGCAGCTCCCGTATCCGCGCAGCGCGCTGGGCCCGCAGCCGGCGCTCCCTCCTCGTCTCGGCGGCCGAGTCGTCGCTCTCGGCCCCGCTGCCATCGGCATCGTCTCGGCCGTCGACGCCGCCGGCGCCGTTGGAGAGCGCGGCCTTGCCGTGGAGCAGCACGTCTTCGAGCTTCGAGGTGCGCGGTGCCAGGCCTTCGATCTCCTCGAGCACGTCGCGCCGCGTCAGCCGTGGCAGGATGATGTCGCAGACGCGCTCCTGCGTCAGCAGCTGGTCGACAAAGACGTCCATGTACGTCAGGCTGTAGGTGCCGGCTGTACGAGGCAGGCGCAGAGACGGCAACGAGGGCGTCAGCAGGTCGAGCATCGTAAAGCGGGCCTCGCTTGTCTGCCAGGTGGAGGCCGGAGCACAAACACTCACTCATGTCGCGCCACCGCAACTTGCGGTAGTCGTCCAGGAGCGGCTCGAGGAGCTCGTACACCTCGACCGCTCGGAACGTGAGGCGGACATACATGGCCGCCAGGGCCCTCAGGTATCTGCGAGCAGGCGAAAGCAGCCGGGAGGATGAGGCAGATCAAGACGGAAAGAGTCAGCTGGAGCCCAGTGGTGCCACGATATGCGATGCAGCAGCGACGGCAGCGACGGCAGCGAGACGCACTTGAATTCGGCCGCATTGAGGTATTCGAGGATAATCTCGCGCTCCGGCTGGAGCTGTAGGAGCTTCTGCAGCAGGCAGAGGAAGGGGCTGGGCCGTTGAAGACCGTAGGTCCCGCCGACGTACTCAAGATCGACGGCGCGGTCGATGATGGACTCGGCGGTGAGGGCGAAGCAGTGCTCCTTCCAGAAGCGCGAGTCGTAGATGCGGGAGCGGATCGTCTTTTCGACGAGAAACTGCGGATTGGTGCCGTGCACGTTGAGCGATCCGCGCAGCGTTCGGTTGGCCATGGCGACGGTTCCGCGAGCGAGCGATCGGACGACGGTGGTGACGACGGTGGTGGTGGTGGTGGTGGTGGTGGTGGTGGTTGTTAGGACGACCACGAGGACGACGAGAGAAGCCAGCCAGCCTGACGAGACAGCTCCTTTTGCTCCACATTTCCAGGCCGACTTTTTTCGGCTGCGGGGGGCGCGGCTGCCTGCAGAGAGGGGGCGGGCACTGTCGAGGGGGGCGGTGCGGACAGGGAAGGGCTGGAGCGTGCGCAGGCTCAGGCAAGCTGCCTGCCTGCCGCCCCCCTGGCCCCAACTGACTGTCTGACCGACCGACCGACACATCGACCTTCGCCCCGTCTCCATCTCATCCTTCCTCACTACTCGCACCAGCCCCTTCTGTTCGGCATCCTCCCGATCCCAGCACCGCCGCCGGCCAGGCCTTGTCTCCACCATTCGCCACCTCATAGACTGCGCCGCCTAGCCCATCCCAGCCTCGTCTGGCTACGCCACGCCCTCGTCGCCCTTCGGCATCGTTCCGAGCTCGTCTCGCTCCCATCCCACACTACGTTTGCCTCAGGGTCCTCCTCTCAGAGGCTCCCGAGACGGCTCGCAGCACTGCTCGTCTCTTGACGGACCACCAGCACTCCAATCCCGCGCTCTGCGCTCAAAGGGCGAGGCCATGCCCCACGACTGCTCTAGCACACCCCACTAGAATCTCGCCGGCGACCGCGAGGAACCGCTCCACTGAGCAGAGCAAGCGCTAGCGACAGCGATAAAGAAAACGGCAGCGGTGACTTGCCACCTTCGGAACGCGGCCCGCCCGGTCACTCTCTACGCAGACCTCGTCTCTGGACCCCCGGAGTACTGCTGACCCCTATCTCTCGGCATCGCCCCCACTTGGCGCCGCCCTGGGCCGTCACGCCAAGATGTCACACTTTGTCTCGCGGACCTCGCAGGATTTCGACTCGCTGCAGCACCAGCTGCTCCGCCGCCAGCCTCTCGACGAGGACGGCATCCAGGAGGATGCGGCGGGCGAGGCCAGCGCGCCCGAGGGCCCGGATCAGCCGCAGTCGACGCTGGCCGGCCGCAGGAGGAGAGAGGTGAGCGACCTCGGCCTGGACCACCCCCACGGCATCAGCGGCAGTGGCGTCGATGGCTACCCGCACACTGCGCCCGCGCCCGCCAGCACCAGCGCCGCCTACTCGCGCCGCAACAGCCCCGACCTGCCCCAGGCGGCGCCATCGAGGCCGAGGAGCGTCGCAGGCAACAGCATACACGATGTGCCGTCACGCTCCGGCCAGCTCGAGGCCGCCGACTACTTTTCTGGCCCTGGCAACGCGCAGCGGTCGGGCGACGCCGTCAACGATTATCCCTCGGGCGCTTACCGCGTCGATCTCGAGAGCGGCCAGGTGCAGGGTGCTACTCCGTTCGACATGGGCGCCCATGGAGGATCGACGATGTCCTCGGCCGCCGCCGCCGCCGCAGCATCAGCAGCAGCGACAGCATCGACCTCGACCCCGGGCATGGGCTACGGCCGCGACCGCCACGCAACCGGGGACGCGGCGGGATCGCGAGATGCGACGCTGCGGCCGCGCAAGAATGCAAAGGGCGTGTCGTTCTCGGACAAGTCGCTGGGGCCGGGCGAGGATGGCCACGCTGGCAAGCAGCAGCGGCCGCATCGCTCCAACAGCGGCTTTGTCGAACCGCCGCCCGCGTCGCACCAGATCTACCGCTCCAAGAGCTCCGGCATGATCAGCCCGGCCGAGATGGCGCCGCGGAAGCTGGGCACCTGGGACGGCGTCTTCATGCCCGTCAGCCTCAACATCCTCGGCATCATCCTCTTTCTCCGCTTCGGCTTCGTCCTCGGCCAGGCGGGCCTGCTCGGCTCCCTCTTCCTCCTCCTCGTCAGCTACACCATCGACACCCTCACCGCCATGAGCCTCAACGCCATCTCGACCAACGGACAGGTGCGTGGCGGCGGCGCCTACTACCTCATCTCGCGCTCCCTGGGACCCGAATTCGGCGGCTCGATCGGCCTCATCTTCTTTGCGGGCCAGGCGCTCAACGCCGCCATGAACGTGCTCGGCTTCGTCGAGAGCCTCACCGACGCCTTTGGAGAGAGCCGCGGGCCGAGCGGCTTCCTGCCCGAGGGTCCCTGGTTCTCGTTCTTCTACGGCAGCGTGGTGCTGCTGCTCAGCACCGTCGTCTGCCTCGTCGGCTCCAAGCTGTTTGCGCGGGCCACGCTGGCGCTCGCCGTCATCCTCGGCGTCTCGATTGTCAGCATCCCCATCTCGTCGCTGACGGTGCAGCCGTTTATCGACGATGAGCGCGGCGCCTACTATACCGGCTGGTCGCTCCAGACGCTGCGCCAGAATCTGCTCCCCCGCTTTACCTCGGGCGCCGCCGGCTCGTCGACCGGCCCGGACCCGGAGAGCTGGCAGTCGGTGTTTGGCGTCCTCTTCCCCGCCGTCACGGGCATCCTGGCCGGCGCCTCGATGTCTGGCGACCTGCGCAAGCCGAGCAAGAGCATCCCCAAGGGCACCAACTATTCGCTCCTCTTCACCTTCCTCGTCTACGCCATGAGCTTCGTCGTGTTCGCCGCCACCATCGAGCGCGAGTCGTTCTACGTCGACGTCGGCATCGTGTCGGACGTGGCGCTGAGCCCGCAGGTCATCACGTTTGGCGCGCTCGCCTCGACGGCCTTTTCCGCCCTCATGGGCGTCATGGCGTGCGGCAAGGTGCTGCAGGCCATCGCGCGCGACAACCTGCTGCCCGTGCTCGACGTCTTCGCCCAGGGCACCGAGATCAGCGACACGCCCACCTTTGCCGTGCTCGCCACCTACCTCCTCTGCCAGTTGATTCTGTTTGTCGACTCGGTCAACACCATCGCCCAGCTGGTGACGATGACGACGCTCCTGACGTTTGGCACGCTCAGCTTCGCCACCTGCGCGCTCAAGGCCGGCGGCGCCCCCTCGTTCCGGCCCTCGTTCAAGTACTGGAACATCTGGACCGCCGGCGGCGGAGCCCTCAGCTGCTTTGGCGCCATGTTCTTCACCGACCCGCTCGCCGCCATCGCGTGCATCGTCGTGGCCATCTTCCTCTTTGTCGCCATTCACTTCTTCTCGCCGCCCAAGCCGTGGGGCGACGTGACGCGCAACCTGACCTACCACTTTGTCCGCAAGTACCTGCTCCGCCTCGACGAGCGCAAGGGCCACGTCAAGTACTGGCGGCCGCAGATCCTGCTGCTCGCCAACAACCCGCGCACCGAGTGGAACCTTATCATCTTTTGCAACTCGCTCAAGAAGGGCGCCCTCTACGTGCTGGGCCACGTGCTCAAGGGCGAGTTCACCGAGTGCCTGGCCGAGCTGCGCAAGCAGCAGGTGGCGTGGCTCAAGCTCGTCGACCTGACTGGCATCAAGTCGTTTGTCGACGTCATCATCGCCGCCGACGAGCGCGAGGGCGCGCGCAACCTCATCCTCTCGTGCGGCCTCGGCGGCATGCGCCCCAACATCGTCGTCATGGGCTACCCGAGCGACATGCAGCACCCGGCCAAGGTGGCACGCGGGCCCGTCCCTTCGGCTGCCGCCGCCGCGGCAGCGTCTTCATCTTCGTCGTCGTCATCGCCCACGGCCCACCAGCGCGACGGCAGCGAGATTACGATCCGCGGCATCAGCTGGCCGCACCGGCCGCACCGCGCCATCGACATCGGCAGCCTGCCCACCGACGGAGTGCGTCGCGAGACGCCGATCCGCCCCACGACCTACGTCGGCATCATGGAGGATGCGCTGGCGCTCAACAAGGCGCTGGCGATCGCGTATGGCTTCGACACGATGCAGCTGCCCGGGCCGTCGGCGACGACCAGGTACGACAAGCCGACCTCTGACCAGTACATCGACCTCTGGCCCATTCAGATCGCAAGCGGAGACGAGGCCGACGACGACAGCCACGCCTGGGACACGTACACCATGGTGCTGCACCTCGGCACCATCCTCAGCCTGACGGGCACGTGGAAGTCGCACAAGCTGCGCGTGTCGGTGTTTGTCGAGCATCCCGCCGAGATCGAGGACGAACGCCGCCGGATCCGCTCGCTGCTCGACAACCTCCGCATCCCTGCCTCGCTGCGCGTCTTTTGCCTCTCGGACCCAAGCGTCACCACCTACCAGGCTATCGTGCTTGGCCAGAAGCCCATCTTCGACGACATCGAGGCCGCCCTCCGCGGCGACCCGTGGTGGGAGGCGCTCAAGCAGCTGCGGAGGGAGTCGGAGAAGCGGGCCAAGGCGGCGGCAAAGAGGGCGTCGCAGCCTTCGGCGCAGGCGATCCCCTCGCCCGGCCCCGAGTCGCGCAAGCAATCGAAGAAGGAGCAGCGCATCCTCGGCGTCAGCCTGCCCGCCGAGCACCTTGCCTTCCACAAGCAGAACATCCGCCTAGGCCTCGCTCACCCGCGCGCCCGCCGCCTCGATGCCGAGAGCGACACCGACGAGACCGACTTCAGCGACGACTCCGACTTTGAGGACGAGCTGGCGCTCCTCTCCGAGGACGACGACTGGCTCGACGAGGCTCGCTCGAGGTCCGGGGCCGGCGTCGGACTGCGCCGGTCGTCGACGGTGACGGCTGGCATGTCGGGCCGATCCAGCAGACCATCGCGTCGGCCGCGCGCCTACTCGCTCGGAGGCTCGGCGGGCCTGCCCGACGACCCCATCAGCCAGCCGCTGCTGTCGACGAGCACCGGCACCGAGGCCACCGTGGGCCGCTCCGTGGGCAGCTACGGCTCCCTCAGCTCGTCGCAGCGCACAGCCACACCGGCCAACGTCAAGGGCGCCGTGCTGCCATCGGCATCAGGCCACGTCGATTCGGAGCATGCGTCCTCCGCCGCCTTCAACCCAGCCTACGCATCAGTCGGCTCGACGATCGTCTCGACCGATTCGAGCGACACGCCGAGAGCCTCGCTGCCGCGCGATGAGCTGCACCCGAGCCCGTTTGCAGCCTCGGTTGGCCACGCGGGTCGAGAGGGCAACGGCCACGGATCGGAGGACCAGGACAGGACGCTCAAGGCATCGGACCGGGCCAGGATGCAGGAGCAACTCCAGCAGGGTGACCAAGCGGCCCGTTCCGGCCCCGCCTCGCGCCGCTCGAGCATCAGCAGTGATGCTGACGGCTCCGGCCTGTCGCTGCGCGGCAGTCCCTCCAGCAGCAGCGACGCGGAGCCGGCCACTTCGACGAGGCGAGCGCGGGGTCCGTCGGCGTCCGCATCGGGCAAGCGGGTGAGGAAGGCGTCTGGCAGCGTGAGGCGGGCCTCGTCGTCGTCGGCGCATGGCCGCGCACGCTCCGAGGAACTGCCGACGAGTTCTGGCCCAGCGAATAGCTCGGCGCCCCGCCGTGCCTCGCGCTCTCGCCGCCCCGGCTCCGGATCGCGTCCGGTCTCGAGCGCTTCGATTGCCTCGAGCATCCCGGCGGCGGCGGAGGGCATCCGGATCTCGTTCAACGAGCTGCCCAACAAGGCGCAGTACCTCATACTCAAGTGAGTGGCAAGCAAGCCAGGCCCGGTCTGATCGTTGCCGAGCCTGTCCACTGACCATCCTCCCCTCCTCTCACCCACCTGCCTTCGCACCGCAGCGAACTGATCCGCTCCAACTCGTCGGCCGCGACCTCGGTGGTGCTGACGGCGCTGCCCGCCCCGGAGCCGGGGACGTCGCGGGACGAGATGAGGAGCCTGCGCTACCTGGAACACCTAGAGAGCCTCTTTACCGGCGGCCCGCCGGTACTAGGCGTCCACGCCAAGACGCTCACCATGACCATGAGTCTATAGAAGACCGGGGCGGCCGCCGGATGGCGGAGGCACCCGGTCGCACGACTGAAACGGGGCGCGAACACGGAAATATCACGACCTTGTCTCTCCACGGCTGCCAGCATGATATCGGCGCTCCTCTCCGGAGCGACACTCAACCCGCCTCTCTGCAGCATCGGACGTCGTCATCGGCGCCGCAGCCTGCATTGACCTGCGGTATCTGTTTGTGGCCAGACCAACCAGCAGGGCGCGGTCGAGGAGAATAATGGACGTCTCGCTGCAACGTCGGTCACAGGCAACCCACCGAAGCGGCGTGCAACGGGCTGAGAGCCGGCGAGGTGGGGGCGACCCGCGGCCGAACGAACGACACCAGCCGACCTAATATCGGCGCCAACGGCGTCGAGGTGGGGCTGCAGAGCACGATGAGGCAGGCTATAAAGGCGGCGCCTCTGACCGCACTTGCCGTCAGCTCGGCCGCCTCTCCTGCACCTCGGCCCCATCCTAGTGGACCTGTCCGCTGCGCTCGCTGCTCTCACCTTCTTTTCCACTCCATCAGCCACCGACACGTTGTCTCTGCCCTGCTCTCGCCACCGTCTGCTCGCGAGCCCGCTGATGCTGGCACTGCTAATCTCGCTGCTCGTGGCCCTGGCCAGGGCCGACGTACCGGCGACGCCCGAGCAGGTCCAGCAGCAGGGGATGACGTACGACATACCCGATGCGCTCAAGTCGCTCGGCTTCCACATCGAACACCTGCCCGACGGCGGGACGAGGGCGGTTAAGGACAACAGCACCGACGGCGGCGGCAGTAGCAGCGGAACGTCCTCTGCTCCGCTCGTGCCGTCGAGGACATTGCACCTCCCGCCGCTGTACCAAGGCGGAACTGGTCGTGCGCCCCAACCCAGTTTGCCGGCTCCGCAGAGCGAGGCTACTCGTTCCGCCACGTTACCGGTCGCGGACATGACATGGTCGACGGCTTGGTCAACATCTTGGTCGACGTCGCTATCCTTCAGCACGTCCACATCGCTCCCTGCGCCCACCGCGTCGGCGCCCTTCGACAATGGGACAATGACCTTTACGGTCTCGCAGACGCACCATGGGACCAGCGCCTCGACCCCCGGCGCCTCCCCGACCGGTCACACTACCAGTGAGTCGTGGATTGCGCCTCCTCCGCTCCGGCATCAGACTGGACAAAGAAAGGCTGAGCGCTCCCGTCAATCTGTCGCCGTCGCCCCTTTCCCCCCTCTGCAGATCCTTCGAGCGATGCTGCGCGCATCGACCCGGGCATGGTGGGCGTCGTCGCCGGCGGTATCCTGCTCGGCATCGTCTTGGTACTTCTATGATCCCCACATTGGAATGTCCTCCATAAGGCCAGGGACTGAATCGCCCGGACGAATCGACTGCCACGCGCGTGCGAATGGTGAGAGGTCCTGGTGGTCTACGACGTGCCTCTCGCGGGCGGGGCGGATGCGGTACCGGTGACGACGCAACGCTAGATGCAAAGACGGGATAGATGGTGGACGAAGCTCGACCTCCTCAAGACTCAGCACCCCCTCGCCCTCGAGCCGAGCACCCTCGGCGAGGAGCGAGCTCAGCGTGCGGACCGCCGGCTCCCCAGCTGGCCGACGATGTCGCGACATCGACAAACGCAACGCTCCTGGGCGCGAGCGGGTGCCACGTTTCTGGCCGTGTCCTCGAAGCGAAGCCCGTCATCGCCAAGCTGTGAGGCGTTCAGGCAGCGCCCGGAAGCGGTCCGAGGGGCCTCGGGCGTCGCGTTGGGGCCTGCGGTCGTGGAGGACGAGGCTGACGAGGATCTCGTCGAGTCCCGCTCCCTGCCCGGCGGCGGCGTGCTACCGATATCGGCGTGTCACGTCGTCGGACCATGCTCCGTGCCGTCTTTGCTCATCGGCCGCCTCGCGACCACATGGCCGGACGGACAGTCGGGAGCGGGCGACCTCTTTGTCACAGCCGCGCCTGTGCCGGCGATGCTTTTTCCCGGCATTCGGGCATCGTGGCTTGAGATGGGCATCTCCGTGGACGAGGCCAGGCGAGTCGCAGCCTCGCCCGTTGCCTGCTGCTTGGTTGGTTGCTCGCAGGCGGCCCAGGGACCGACCGGTGCTGGCCACTCACAGCAGCTGCCTGTCGAGCATCGGTGCCTGAGCCTGCGTCGTGCATCCGAACCGCGGGCGTGGGGGGCGGCAAGCCTGGCGTCGGAAAACAACAAACGTGCCCACGGCGTTGCCACTGGCCGGCCAGTCCAGGGCGAGGCACGGCAGGCGAGTCGAGGGTCGAGTCGAGGGTCGGAGTGCCAAACCACGACGACGTACGTCGCCGTTGTTCTCGAACCACACCTTCGCCCCGCCAGCGAACGACTCAGCCATCAGGCTAAGGGCTAGTTAGGGACCGGCTCCATGCTTACCTACAGCTGCGGGCGTCGGCTTCGGAGGCTCGCCCGATTCTTGTTGGCCAAGGGAAAGGAACGCCTCGGCGACGCCAACTGGACGGCCACCAATCAGCCCGCTCTGTCCTTCCAGCGGCGCTGCAGGAGTGGCATTCGCTCGATCTGTGGCCAGCCGCACGTGGAGGCCAGCGCTTCTAGGTATTCGAGAGCCGGTGACGAGACCGCAACCGCTGCTCCTTCGACTTCACACCCACGCTGCGTCGCTCGTTGGTATCGATGCGACACTGCTCAGACTTCGTACGACCGCCTCTATCGCACCTTTAATGCGCTCGACGTCGAGCATCAGCGGTGGACCTGCGGACGGCCAGGTTGGACCATCCGCAGTAGCAGCTGTATCTACAGCACTCACGCCTGCCTCCGTGCTTGTGGCAGTGCCGCGGCCCTGAATGGCTTTCATGCTGAAACACAGCCTCCCAGCAAGAGGCTGCAACGGGCAGGCGAGCATCACCATACCGGTACCTAGCACCAGGCACCTTGACTCGACCAACCTTCGGCGTGTGATTGCTCGACGAGAGCGACTACCGGTCGGTATCGACCGACACACCCGCACGCAGCAAAGCAGATAGTTAGGGATTGCGCGTGTCCGCCAGGCACGACGACGATCAGCACAGGCGGGCGTCGGAACACCTACCACGCCTCGGTACCAGCCAGCCTCGACCACGGCTCGCCCCCTGCTGGCTGGTACACTCATCCATATATCCGCTGATCTGCAAAGGCGTATGGTCGCTGCTGCACCTGCACCGCACGCTGCGTGTGGTAAGAAGCACTTGCCGCTCTGTACCGGTAGATAGGCACATGCTGTGTACGTACCTACGTGGCGAGATCCCCGGCGCGCCAGGCAGGCCATGCTGTGCCAGGCACCGCTCCAGCATCCATCGGAACGCGAGTTGGCAGCAACTGCTGCTGCTGCTGCTGCTGCTGCTGCTGTCATCGTCATCGGTACCTCGTCCGGCGAATACCGAGCCAGCAGGTGCCGCAACGACAGCGGCGCAGGCGGCGGAGGCGTGCGAGCGGATCGGCTCGGCAGCTCCCGAAACGCGGGAGGTCAGACAGGCGGCTAAACCGAACAAGGCTGCGACCGGAGATACCGTGAGTGCGTACATACGTACGTGTCAGGCAGGTGGGCTGCCATCGACTGGCCGATTACACACGAGCAATCGCCATGTAGCGTCAGCATCCGCCGGGAAAGCTCCGTATGGTGGCAGATACGACGACGGGAGCGCGCGACGCTAAAGTCCGTCGACAAGCCGGCCTCTGACTCGTTCAGTACTCAAGCAATGGTGGTGGCAGCCAGCCCGCGCAGACTCGATGGCCCAGCGACCACGTCAGGCCCAGCCAAAGCTACGCTTCGCTAGCTGCTGACGGACGGCGCCAAGGAAACAAACCAAACGAGATCCATCTTACAGTCGTAGTTACCCGGCGTAACCTGTACCTGGCCTGGGCAGCCTAGCCTCGCCTGGTTTCCTCTTGAGCCTGCGAAGCGAAGGAAGCTCTCCCAGCTTGGGCCTGGGCCTGGTGGCGCGGCCAGGCCTGCCTGCCTGTTCTTGCTCTCGATCCGTTGGTCGCAGTGGGCAAATGAGCAGCTCCCCCACGCTCGCTCACTCGCTCGCTCTGCCTGGCCTGACCTGGCCTGGTTCGGTCTCGCGCCCACGCGAGCGAGCCTGAGCTTGCGTGCGTGCTTGGGACCGAGGATGACGGGCAGCGGGATGCCCAGGACAAGAAAGGCGAGCGAAATCGACCGACTACCCTGTAGCTGAGCTTCCGACGCAAGCGAGCAAGCGAGCAAGCGACGCACCGACATCGGCCGGTTTCGAGGGTTCGCTCCTTCGGCTTCGGCCGTGCTGCAACCTACGACGGTATCTACGAGGCCATCGTGGCTGACGGTACCTACCGGTGCGGTGCGGCTCGCATACGCGCGCTGTGTACGCCACGCACGGCGCTCCTACCGGTAACCTGCCTCCTGCTTAGCTTGCATGCTTGCTTGCTTGCTTCTTGGCTGTCGAAAAGGGGAGGAGGTCGCTTGTACCGGACTGCATCTCCTCTCCATCTCGTCTGTATGCGCACGCCGGATCAACAGCAGCGGCGAATCGGATGCACGGTGCGGGATGAAGCAAGCAAGCAAGCAAGCAGGCAGCGATTGAGGCTGGAGGAAGCCGTCAGGCAGGCAAGCAGCTGTAAGCAAGCAGGCAGGCAAGCTTGCACCCACCTGCCTCTTGCATGCAGACGTGAGAACGACGTATGTACGCACGCACGTCTCCTCGAGACCGGCAGGCAGGCTCAGCGTGACGAGCAGGCGGCGGCGACAGCGGCGGCCAACGGTGGCTGCGATTGATCCCTGCCTGCCTGATACGTTCAGGACGGTGCGGCGCTTGACCTGGCGAGGCAGACGACCGGGCGGCGGCGAGCATCACAAGAGCATCCCAGCATCGTAGACTTTTTTTGAACGTACTGTTCGGAGCTAGTTCCTGGTTGCCTCGTCGATGAGACAGCTGCGGCCCATGCCGCGTCGGTATCCAGCTCCCGCGACGAACCGTTACGACCTGGGCCCAACCAGCTCCCTCCAAGCTGCCTGGCTGCTTCCGCCGACGATCCCGATATCGGCTCCCCCGTCAGCACCGCTGCCTGCCCAGCGTGCTGCTCAGCTAGCTTGCTTGTGGCGAGGTCAGGCCGCCTTCATGCCTGGCAGGCCAGCCTGAGGTCTGTTGAATTTTTCCGGGTTCTGTCTTGCACAGCTCGCCGTGCTAACGAAGGTTTTCAACGAGGCCCTGACCTGTTTGCTCTTTTGGCTTTCCCCGGGCAGGCAAGAACTCGATAGGTAGGCAGGCAGGCGTCGCTGCCTGTCCACAGGCGCAGGCAGGCATCTGCGCTGCTGGACCTCCTGCTCCCACGGCGAGCACCGACCAGCGTTTCGGCTGAGCTGCGTCGTTCGTCTCGAGTCTCCCATCGACCCGACCTGTCTCGGCTCCCCCGCCGTCGTCGGTCGTCGCCGAAGTGACGCTCGAGACGGTACGGCGAACAGCCCGCGCAGCGCGGGCTACGGACGTACGGTCAGTTAGCCGGGCGGATGGCCCGCAGGAAGGCCTTGGCGGCCACGCTTCGATACCGCCGCAACCCGCCTCGGAGGCAGGCAGGCGAGGAGGGATGGTGATGGATGGAGCGAAGAGCTGCGTGGTGGAACGGACCGGCAGGAAGGCAGGCTAGGCTAGGCCAGGCCAGCAGGGTCGTCGTCGGCCTGGCTCCGACGAGCCTCGCTCGTCTAACCTATCGCCAGGCCGCCGGAAAGAAACAAGCAGCAAGCAGCAGGTCTGACTGCCCGTCCGAAGTGGCTGCCCCCCAAAGTGCGTGCGTGTGGTGCTTGGTCGCTTGCTCGCTCGTTGCTGGTGGCCCTGCTTCCTTGCTCTGCTCTGAGGTTGAGGTGGGTGGACGTCGCTGCTGTCGCTGTCGCTGTCGCTGTCGCTGCTGCTGCTGCTGCTGCGCGCTGGCTGTTGCTCTCTCGGTGCATCCCTCTCTCTCCATCCCCCTCGCTCGCCCCCTCCGTGGCCGCGACGCTGGAACCCTGTCCGCGGTTCGCTCCACCACCTAGCTTGCCCTCTTGCCTTCACATGCCATGTACACCGCCCTCGCCCGCATCCCTAGGCCAGGGCATCCTCCCCTGCTCAGCACAGCCGCACGACCTCCTGGGCAGCCACGCACAACAGCCGATTCGCCTCTTGTCGCCGCCGCCGCCGCCGTCGCCTTCCTTCCCTGCGTCTGCGTCTGCTTGCTTCCGCGACTGCATCAACCAGGCCGACGGCGGCATCGGCGGCCTTCCTTCCCTCCATCATCGCACCTGCTCGACTCGGATCTCGTCCATCGACAGCCCCGTATCTCTGAAGCTGGTACGCGGACGTCCGCAGCCACTGCATGACGCCCCACGTCTTTCGCCAGCCTACCCTTATCCTCCTTCTCGCGACCTGACTCGCCTCCCTCCGCTCGGGCACTTGTCATCGTCAGGGGCATCTCCGCATCTCGAGACGGTGGCCTTGACCTCTTCGGAAGCTGCCGAGTTGGCCTCATAAGCAAGCCGGCGAGCCGACAACCTCGAGCCGCCGCCGTCAGGACCACCTTCGTCCATCAGCCAGTCCGACGCTGTACCTGAACGCTTCAAGCATCCTCGCAAGGGAGTAAGGACAAAGTCGAGCTCTCTATCCGGACGCGCCGAGGGCCCGCTCCCAACACGTCTCCGCCTCGACAAGCAGCAGCATTCGAGTTCGGTTCGTTTGGCGGAACCCGGACCCTGCAGCCGTGAAGCTCTTCCCACGGCAACGTCGGACCGCCGCAGCATAGCCCTGCCTTGACTCGGTCGAGGGCTCTTTCGACGAATCACCGGCGCACTCGACGCTTACCGTTCGGCTGGCACCGGCGCACTCGACGCTTACCGTTCGGTTGGCACAGGACCGCTCCGACGCGGTGTCTACCCCGAGCGCACAGAGCGAACGGTCTCGCCCTTTCGCGGCGAAGGAACGGAGCAAGCTGGACGGTGATCAACTCATACCCATCGTCTCCAGTGGTGCCTGAACGGCCTGCACCGGTCCCACAAGATGCCGCCTGCCGCCACTGGAGGCAGCAGCCGGCGCAAGCAGGGCCAGCCTACCGTCTGCCTGGACTGCTACCTGCGCAAGGTCAAGGTGAGTGCTTTTGCATGTCGACCAGTGTGCCGGAGAGACGGGTGCCCGTTTGAAGGTCGTGCCAGGATGCTGAAGGAAGCATCCGACTCCCTCTGTCATCGACGGCATCTACCTTCGTGCACCAGTGCGACCGCAAGCGCCCTTGCTCGACCTGCATCCGCAGAGGCACCGAGCACCTGTGCAAGACGTTCAGCACCCAGGAGCTTGACCCTGCTGCTCTCAAGAAGAAGCAGGCACGGCGTTCCATGGCGGAGCTCACGGCCCTCACAGAAGCAGCCGCGGCCTCGGCGAGCGCGGCTGCTCGCGATGCGCAGCAGGACCCGTCCGAGTCTGGTCGGTCCGACGGCCGGTCTTTAGATGTGGCGAACCACCACAACGGCGGCGGCGGAAGCAGCAGCAGCGCCTCGACCACCACCGCAGGCGAGTCCCGCGGCGTCGAGGCTCCGCTCACGTCTTTCATCAACCTGCTGCTGCAGGATCTGAGCGTCGGCGACGAAGAGTACAGCTCCGGCGGCGGCTCGCCCGGTAGCCTGTCTGGCGCCGGCCCCAGCTCCACCCCGCCTCCCGGGGCGAGCCGCTACATGGAGCCCAAGACGCTCGACGTGATCCTCGCCTTCTGCGCCATGGTGCCGGATCTGCCGCGGCTGTCGCGCCTCGTCAACATCTACCTCCTCGACGTCGACTGGAAGTTTATGCTCACCGCTCAAGACTACTTCGAAGATTACGTCCGCGACCTCTGGCAGCGGGTCGTGATGCCGTGCCAGGACTACCACCGTTCGGGCCAGACAGGCGCGACGCTCGAGGCGTGTTTCCGTCCCGGCGACCTGTCCAGGCTGACAATGCTGGCGGGCTTCCTGTGCGAGACGGTCGAGTGCCTCGATCCGATCACCATCCCGGACCTTGTGCCGGCATCTGTGTCGGGCACCACGTCGCTCCCCAAGGGCGCCGCGCGGTCTGCCGAGGAGGCCTTCGACGACGCCGCCGCCGCCACGCCCAGGGTGCGGGCCTTGAGCGTCCTGATCCACCACCTTCAGACGCTCATCGAAGAGTGCGAGCGGCTCGATGAGATGACCGTCGACCTGGTGCAGAGCAACCTGACCGCTTTCACCGTCTGGGCGAGCCAGGGCATGTTTGGCCTCTCGGACTTCCCGCGGTGGGAGCTCACGATCCGGGCGGCGCGCGAGTCGAAGCTGTTCGAGGACCCGGAGCGGCTCGGCATCACCGATCCGCTGCTGCTCGATCATCGCCGCCGCCTCGGCTGGCTCGTCTACGGCTACGACCACTCCTTTGCCGTCGGCGCCAACGTCAAGCCGCTGATCCTCGAGTCCCAGTTCAGCGTCGATCGGCCGAGCGATGCCCCGCCCTGGCTCGCCTCGGGCGTGCCCGCGGACCCGACGCTGGCGCGCTGCGAGGTCGAGGTGGCCGAGATCGCCAAGCAGCTGGCCATCTGCAACGCCGCCGAGGGACCGCCGCTGCACCGCAAGGTGATGGAGGTCGATCAGCAGATCCTCAACTTCATCCGCGGCCTCCATCCAACCTACGCTCTCGAGCAGCCCGACCTGTCGATGGACCAGCACGATCCGTGGCGCTCGCGGCGACGACCGTGGCTCGGGCTCAACCTGTGCTGGCAGCGGAGCATCCTGCACCGCCAGTTTTTCTTTCCCAACGGCCGCATCAACAACGGCGAGCTGGCCACCAGCCGGCACATTGCCATCGACAGCAGCCTACGAGCGCTCGAAAAGATCCGCGAGGTCAAGCGCGTGCAGAACCGCTTCTCCGACTGGCAGGGCTCGGCCTGGTACTACCAGTATATGACCGAGCCCAGCATCACGCTGGCGACGGCGACGCTGCTGCTGCTGCGCAGCCGGGGCAAGGGCATCCCTGGCCTCGCCGACGAGGCGGCCTGCTGGCCGACCGTGTTTCACTTCTGCAAGATCATCGACCTATCGATTGTCGAGATCGACCACTCGATGCAGGACCCGGCCCTCTGCCTGCCGAGCTTCCTCGGCTTCGGCCGGCGTTGCTCGCAGATGCTGGTGCAGCTGCGCACCACGATCCAGAGCGGCGTCGATGCGCTCCTGACAAAGGCCAACGGCGGCGTGGCCAGCGTCGGCCTCCGCTTCGACGAAAAGCTGGCCGGTCTGCTGAACCCCCGGGCCAGGACGCGCAGCCCCTCGCACGACGGCGGCACCACGCGGGAGAGCATCAGCAGCGCTGGCAGCAGCGGCGCCTCGCCGCGACCCTCGATATCGTCGTCGAGCTTTGCGCCGCTCGCTGCTCCTCGGTCTCAGCCGCACCAGGCTGCACAGTGGCAGCCGGGAGAGGCTCGCAACAGCAGCTTCTACGGCAGCGGCGGCGGTGACGAGGGCGCCGGGACCGCAGCCGGAAGCAGCAGCGTGCGAAGCAGCGGAGCCAGCAGCACGGCCATCTCGCCAGCGACGATGCAAAACGAGACGTGGTTCGCTGCCGGCGACGCCCCAGCCCTGTTGCAGCCTCCTGCGCACCAGCCGACATCGGAAGCGCCGCAGCTGCTCGGCCAGCAGTTTGCCTCGCTCGACCAGCATGGAGGTACCTCCGCTGCGCCGGGCTACCCACCCAACATGGCGACAGGCCTGCCCGCGCTGTCGACGTCGACCTACGACCCGCATTCCAACTCCTGGAGCGCTGGCCCGGCCGTCCCTGCGCCGCACCTGTCGGCCGCGGCGTCGGTCGAGATGCTGGCCCCACTGGACGTCTCGCAGGCCCTCGATGTAGGCGGTGGCGGCGGCGGGGCCGGCGGCTTGGGAGCCTTTGACGCCGTGCTGAGCCCGACGAACACGATCTCGTCGATGGAGCCGTCGGCGCTGCGTTCGTACTACACCGACGACCGGGTGCAGAGGGCGGCACACGAGAACCGCGGGCTGAGTGACTGGATCGCCGGTGTGCAGTCTGGGGTGATGCTGCCGCCACCGGGCTGACGAGTGGCGCTGCAGCAGGTTCGACCGAGAAGGAGACTGAAAAGCGGGAACCGGGTCCGCGGGTGCCGTGCCACCAACGGACGAGTGACGAGGGACGAGGTACGGTCGGGGTTGTTGGGAGTGGGCATCACCACCTGGCCCTCTGTCTGATTCTGGCCGCCATGGACACTTGCATGCCTTCATCCTTGCGTGCAGTCTCGTGCTCTGTAGGTCTGTGCGAGCGCTCAGCCGTACGCCCCACGCTCATGGGCGAGCGTTCGTCGCCCTCTCTGCCGGACGTAGTCCCAGCTCGCGGCAATCCTTGCCAGCGCCCACTCGAGGTGATCATCGTCGCCTCGCCTCGGGTAAGGCCATCCGCGCCTGCTGGGCGTGGGGCGCGGGGGGGACCAGAGTGCGGGGTCCGTGGCAGCCACGCATCGCTCTTGCGCTGATGGATTAGGAGGCCTAGGATGTGGCAGGTAGCCAGAATGCGGGGCCCCGCGCCCGGCACCACGCTCGCCGTCGACCATGTCGTACGTCCTGGAGCTGCACAATGTCGCACTCGGCGAGAGGATCGACGAGGAGGCGGAGGCGAACCGCAACCTCGGCACGCGCGGACCCTTCCATGGCTCTGCATCAACGGCTCGGCGGCGGCGCGGGAATCTTTGTCTTCCCCTGCCAGCCGTCACGGCCTCGTTGCTGATCGACGCTTCTTTCCCCCACCTCTCTCTTCAGCTCCTGCCTCGTCGACTGCGCATCCTTCTGTTCCCACTCACCACCCGCACCCAACCGATTGTTGCTTGTGCTCCCTCCCCACCGGCAGCCGGTCAATTGGGCGGATGTCGTCGCACCGACCTCGGCTGGCTCGCAACCTGGCCTAGGGACGTACTCACAGTCCCCCTGGCGTTGTCGTGCATCGTCGCAGCGGCAATGGATTGTCAGGGACAGCGACCAGGTGGCCACGCCGCCCCACCGCATCTCGGTGGCTGCGCAGCGCCGATGCGGCGGCCCCACGTTGGCGCCCACGTTGGCGTCGCGGTCCACGCTGGCGCCGTCAGCGTCGTACCATGACCCCTCTTGCAGCCACCGGACGGGCACCAGGGGTCGCCAGGACCGATACCATTGTCCTCACGCCGGACGAGATATAAGGAGACTGGTGCTGGGAATGAACGCCTCTCGATCCCTGGACCACCAAGCTACCTCTTCCGCCGTGGGCTTCCCTAATCTCGTCCTCTCCCTTCTTCTCCATCTCTCGCGGCCCGACCTCGCTCTCCACCATGAGGCTCTCTGCAGGCCTTGCCGCCGTGTCGACCTGGCTCGGTTTGGTCTCGCTGCTCGTGCTGCAGCAGGCAGAGCCTGTTCAGGCCAAGCTGACGCTCCAGGAGACGGCCGATACGATCGCCATCAACAACGACCGCCTCAACGTCGTGCTGAGCAAGAAGCAGGGCGGCGTCATCAGCAGCCTCTCGCTCGACGGCCAGGACCTGCTGGGCCCCACGGACGCGTCAAAGAACATCGGCCAGGGCCCGTACCTCGACTGCTACTGCACGCCGCAAGGCTTCTATACGCCCGGTCGCAAGGCGCCCGAGTTCGCCGTGTTTCAAGGCACCGACAGCGCCGGGGTCGACTACGCAGGCGTGCGCATGGGCGAGACTTACGCCGCCACCGGCCAGCGCCTCGAGTTCTACTACTTCCTCCGCGACGGCCAGGAGACGGGCCTGCACAACTTTGCGCGCCTGACCTACGACAACGCGACGACGCCGTTCCTGCGCAACCTGCAAGAGTTCCGCACCCTCTTCCGGCCAAACACGCCCCTCTGGACGCACGTCACGACCAACGAGCGCCTCACCGCGCCCATCCCCAAGCCCGAGACGGTGGCAAAGCAAAAGGTGGTGCAGGACGCCACGTGGGACATGGACCCGGACGGCACCTCGACCGACCCCTACGTTACGCAGTTTGCAAAGTACTACACCAAGTACACGTTCTCGGACACCTGGCAGGACCACGACGTCCACGGCCTGTTTGCCGACGGCACCCAGTCGCGCGACGGCCGCTCCTACGGCGCCTGGCTCGTCATGAACACCCGCGACACGTACTTCAACGGCCCAAAGAACTCGGACCTCACGGCTGACGCCAACACCGTCATCAACTACAACTACATCGTCTCGAACCACCACGGCAACGGCACGCCCAACATCACCACGGGCTTCAGGCGCACGTTTGGGCCCTTCTACTACCACTTCAACGCCGCCCCGGGCGGTGTCGGGTCGATCGAGGCGCTGCGGGCCGACGCGCGCAAGCTCGCATCGCCCACGTGGAACGCCGACTTCTACGACTCGATCGCCAAGCACGTGCCCGACTATGTGCCGCAGGCCGGACGCGGCTCTTGGCAGGGCCAGATCAAGCTGCCAAAGGGGGCGCGCAACCCGATCGCCGTGCTGAGCGTGGCGGGCCACGACTTCCAGGACAACGCCGTCGACACCAAGGCCTACCAGTACTGGACGCGCCTCAACGTCGGCAAGGACGGCGTCACGGCCACGGGCAACATCGACATGGTCAAGTCGGGCTCGTATCGCCTGACAGTGTACGCCGAGGGCATCTTTGGCCAGCACGTCGTCGACCCGATCCAGATCTCGGCGCGGGGCGGCGCCGCTTCGGCGCCCCAGGGTACGGGCCGCAAGAGGGCGGCCCCCGCGCCGACCGTGACCAAGACCGTCTGGAACGCCGAGTCCAACGGCCAGGAGCTGTGGCGCATCGGCGTGCCCGACCGCAGCTCGGGCGAGTACCTCCACGGCGACCAGCCGGACCCCACGCACCCGCTCCACCCGCAGCAGCGCCGCATCTACTGGGGCGCCTACGACTTCCCCACCGACTTCCCCAACGGCGTTCGCTTCGAGGTGGGCAAGTCGGACCCGCAGCGCGACCTCAACTACGTGCACTGGAGCCAGTTCGGCGGCAAGGCCAACTCGGTGCGCACCCAGCCCGTCGTCGACAAGGTCAACAACTGGACCCTCGTCTTTGACGCGGCTCAGGACCGGCTCAGCGGACGCAAGAAGGCCACTTTCACCGTCCAGCTCGCCGCCGCCAAAACGGCAGCGGGCAACACGGACACGTTCAACAGCTCCGAGCCCCTCGCCAACCTGCCGCTCGTCGTCAGCGTCAACAAGCACGACCTCGAGGCGTGGCGCATCCCCTACTACCAGAGCAGCTCGTGCGCCGTCAGGTCCGCGGTGAGCTGCTACAACCTCGCCCACAAGTACACCTTTGACGTCGCCCTCCTCCAGCCCGGCCAGAACGAGATCGTCCTCAGCCTGCCCTACCGCGGCAAGAATGCAGAGTCGGCCGTGCTACCCGAGCAGGTCTACGTCCAATACGATGCCATGCGCCTCGAGCTGGCCTGATCCGGCAGGACCGCCGGGCCGCGTCGGCCGACCGCCTGCGATCCGATCGTTGCCGTAGCCGCAGCGACGATGGCGACGACCGCGGCTACGGCGCTTTCCCGATCCAACTCTTCGACTCTTTGTTCCTGCATCGCACCGTCGCACACACGAAATCTGATACGGGCCACGACGTTTGCTTGCCACGGTCGCCGCTCAGTACATGACGGTGTTCCGCTCCACCATCCTCGGCACGCTCCGGAGCGCGCCATCGTCCTTGGCCACGGCCCAGAGGTAGCCATCTGCGGCGTCACAGGTCAGAGACGGGCGCGACAAAGGTAAGTCAAGGAGACGTCAGCACTCACAGCCGCTTCGTTAGGCAATGCGGACAGCGGAAGCACACTTACCGAGGTCAACCTCGTTGAGCTGGTCCAGCCACGCCTTGTCTGCGCTCGTCTTTGCCAGCTCCTTTGCCCTCTTGACGACTTCGACGCCCGCATCGAGGCACGCGGCGCGCACCGTGTAGGCCTCGGCCGCTGTGAGCGTCGGCCCTTCGTCCTTGGCCTCGCGCTTGCCCTCGGACGCCTCTGCCGCGCCGGGCTCCTGAGCCTTTGTCTCGACGGGCCCCCACCTCTTCAGCGCATCGACGACGCATGATGACAGGTCGACGATGCCGAGCTGTACCAGCATCGTCGGAAGCACGTTGTCGACGAACATGGGCAGCGTCGTCGTCGTTTGGGGCACCTTGAGCGACGACGACGCCGACGACGGCGAACCGAGGCGCTGGTGAAGCGCCTGGAGAAGGAAGAAGGCCTTCTTGAAGACGTAGACCGGCCCCGTGGGGAGCTGGTAGGCGTCGTTGAAGCCGGGCAGGAAAGTGACGACCTGTGAGGGGAGAGACGGCAGCATAGCGGGTTAGCCGCAGCCCATCGCACGCTGGACCTGGACGCAAGTTCGGGCAGACGTACCTTTTCGATAAACTTATCGGCGCCCGCCTCGTCGCCCCTGTCGGCCGTCAGCCGCTCGGCATCCTTGAGCGCCTCGATGACAAAGGCGCCGAGGCTCGGGTAGCCGGCGTCCAACAGCCGCTTTCCCGTGTCGTTGCAGAGGCCGACGACGAGCTCGACGGCCTCGTTCATCGGCCCGCCGCGGATGCCGACGGTGATAGCCTCGATCTTGTCGTGCTTCTTTTCCTCGTGCAGCGATACGCCCAGGAGCTCGGCCACCGTCCCGGCGCTGAGGTTCGCCAGGCCCTGGGCGGTGAGGTGCGAGGAGCCAGAGACGGCAGTCGAGGCGGCATCATCGCCGCCAGTCAGGTACAGGCCAAAGAGGAGGCGCTGCACGTTCTGGTACGCCCCAGATCCGGTGGCCGAGTGGAAGGCGGAGCGGTATCCGGATAGCGTGTTGAGGAGCGAGAGGATGGCGAGGAAGTTGACCTCGGCGGTGAGGTTGGGGAACTGGAGCGGGAAGACGAGGCCGTGCTGCGTCTTGAGACGGTCAAAGGTGGCGCGGTCGAGAGAGAGCAGGAAGGCGTCGATGGCGGCCGTCGAGATCGAGATCGAAGCTGCCTCCCGAGCTACGCGGCAGCTCCTCCGGACGCTCGAGATGAATGTCCCAGACGCCGGGGCAGGCGGAGGGGCCGGGGTCGAGGTCGAGCTGGCGGCTGGCATCGTGGATGTCGTTGGTGGTGGAGCTCGATGCGATGCGATTCTTCCCGGTCGCTTCTAATGGACGGGCGCGGATGTCTACGTGGATGAGAGTGAGGAGGAGCAGAGATCGAGTCAGAAGCACCAGGGCGGGGAGTAGTCAGAGGTGGTGGTGCGAGGCCTTCTTCCTGACTCGCCGGCTTCCGGGTCCCGCGTGGACCGACAATCGGCTCCGAAGAGAGGCACCCGGAAGAAAACCCACACGCAGCCCCCATGCCCTCAGCGCTCGCTGGCCCTCCCGCCCGCATTACCACCACCACCACCACCACCACCACCATCACCATCACCATCACCTTGCCGCCTACCGCTCAGCGTTCCACTATCCAGCTCGCTCGTCCTTTCAGGTGCCACGTTCCGATCGCACCTCCCATTGAGCTGCTCAAGCCTCGTCGCCCCCATCCTCACACCCATCTCTGGCACCATGGCGTTCCGGCAATCACTGAGCCTGGCCCAGGTCCAGCGCAACGCCCAGGGCGACATCGTCGGCCGCTTCCTCGCCAAGGCGCCCGCATACCGTCGCACCACGTACATCTCCCCGCCAGTCCTCCCCGACCCGTCAGCTGCAGCTGCCTCTTCTTCCCCCTCCTCGTCGACGTCGACATCAACAGCAACCGCGACGACAGCATCTACCTCGGCCGATCTGGATCGCCCGACAGAGAGGAACCCGTTCAAGCCGTGGCGCTCGCCGACGGGCCGGTGGTCGCCCTCGGCCCTTTCGCAGCGTCGCCAGGCCGAGCTCGCCTCACTGGCGCTGCAGACGGGGCGGCTGCACAGGCTCCCCTCGGGACCCAAGACTGACCGGCTGCGCGCGCGGCTCGCCAAGCTCGAGGAACACCGCGAGCTCGAGCACATCGCCAGCCAGGTGCGCTACGCACCGCCACCGGCCGCGGGCAAGGCCGACGCCCAGAGCGAACAGGACCTCGTCCTCGCCACGGCCAAGCTCGAGGGATACAAGGGCCCCTACACCGGCAGAAAGGTCAGCAAGATGTTCAAGGGCAGCAAGGTCGACCGTGACGCCATCGTTCGCAGGCAGAACATCAAGGACAAGCTGCAGAACATGCAGACCACCGTCGAGGAGTGGCAGGCGGTAAGTCGGCCTCTCTCTCACGGCGATGCTCGAAGCGCTCGCTCGTCCTCACTCATATCGCTGATCGTTCCCCCGACCTCGGTCTCCCCCTCTGCTGCTCGTCTTCTCGCAGACAAAGGCCGAGAACAAGGCCAAGTTCAAGCCCAGCCTGCCCTTCTAGGCCAGGCGATTTGCCTCACGGCAACACATCCGGCCTCCACCGCATGCGCATGTCCACTCTCTCCCAGCGTCAGCAGGAGACTCCAGCAGATTCGACTGGCGCACCTGCGCAACCCGATTCTCTTTGCCACGCCCGCCGACCACTCTGTGCAGCCTGCCCTCAACGACTTCGCCTGCCGCCTGCCGCTCCCCATCTGCCAAGGTAAGGGCATTGCGGGCGACGCACGACACTGCGCTCGAGGTCAGGGGGACCGGGATCTCGCCCAGGAACATGTTGCACATGAAGACGAAGCAGAGGACGAAGCACGGCTAAAGATCCAAAGAGGAAAGGAAAGACAGGCCACGGGCGGGAGGCGGCTAGCTACATGTAGGGCAGGCCGCCGTCGGAGCTGGCCAGGCTCGCCGTCGAGACGACGCGCTTGCGTTCGCGCTTGAGCTGGTCGTCGAGCATGCTCAGCCACGCCTCGCCCTCCTTGGGATCGGCGTAGCGCGGGCTGCCGGGGGCCATCGTGCGCGACGACGGCCCCGACGGCGACAGCATCCTCGGTCCGTCGGGCTGCGTGCCGACGTTGAGCGCGGCCGGAATCGGCCTCGATGCTGCCGCCGCAGCCGCCCGCGTCGGGACGCGGTCTTCGTTGACCGCGGCCGCGATCCTCGCCGCCTCCTCGCTGCTGTACAACTGGCTCATGTGCACGTACGGGTCGAAGAGCGAGGTCGTCGCCGGCGCGGGCGGCGGGATGCGGGCCGACGCAAACGACGATGCGCTGGCGGCGGGCGACGCGGCAGTCTCCGCGATAATGTCGCGCGGTGCCTGCGGACCGTACCGAGGCGACTGGGCAGCCGTCGGGCTGCGATGGGCCGAGCTCGGCGACAGCGGCAGGCCCTCGAGGGCGGCCATCGACTCGCGGCTGTAGGGCTGCCTGCGGGCCGGTGGCTGGTCTTCGAAGCCACCGCGTTCGCGCGGCTGAGACGAGGGCCACTGGCTCTGCCTCCTCGGCTGCTGTTGCTGCTGCTGCTGCTGCTGCTGCTGCTGTTGTTGCTGGTAGTATGGCTGCTGATGGTGGTGCTGAGCGATCGAACGGTGCTCGAGCGGCAAGGGCGGCGGGAAGAGGGCGTCGTCGGGCACGATCGAGTGCACCGTGGGCGCGTGGGACAGGGTGCTCATCGCGGCGGAGCCGCCGCCGCCGATGGAGTCGCGCCCGCGGTGGAGGCTGATCGAGGAGCTGTGGCCGTGGCCCATGTCGCTCTCGGCGCCAAAGTCGTGGTGGCGCCGACCCACGAGCGGTCCGTGGTCGTTGTCCAACGACGGGCCGATGACCATGGCCGACTGCCGCCAGGGCGATTTTCGGCCGCTGGCGGGGAACGGCACCACGTTGCCGGGTCCTCCAGCCGACCACCGGTTGTTCCCCTTGGCCTCCTTCTCGTGGTGCTCGCCTTGGGCGTGCCCTTGCTTGCGGCGGTAGGCGAGGAAAGCCCAGACGACACCGCCGATGAGGGCGATGGCGCCGACGATGCCGGCGATGACGCCGCCAATCTTGGCGCCGTTGCTGCTCGACGGCTCCTCGTCCGGCTCCTTCTTGGCACTGCTTTCGCCCGTCTTCTTGACGGCCGCCGTCGAGCTGGGCGAGGCCGTCTTGGCCGGGTCCGTCGACGAGGCGCGCGCCGTAGTCATCCGGCTGGCCGAGGCGCTGGTAGCGGTGGGCGCCTTCGCAACGGAGTCCGCCTTGGGAAGGCCAGCGACGACCTCCTTTTGAACGCGGGACAGGCAGGCCGAGGAGCTGCCAGAGCCCACGCGGTACACGTCCGATCCGACCCCTCCGCTCTTGCTGGTGCCTTGATCCAGGCCCGCAACGGCGAACCGGGTGCCTGCGGCGTAGTTGACCGTCCAGTCGATGTGGTTGGCCGTCTTGGTGGCCACCCTGACGCGCGTGGGGATGTCGTTCTCGGGCATGATGAGGAACTCGACGGGCAGCTGAACGCCGAGGTTGCCCTTGTCCTCCTCGAATGTCAGCCTCCAGGCGCCGCACTGCTTTGGTGCGGCCACCTCCGGGTACCAGACAAAGTCTAGCTGCTCGCTGGCTGTGGAGATTGCGGCGCAGGTGGCTGCGCCCGCCGCGATCGTCTCGATGGCCGAGGTGCCTGTGACTTTGCCCTGCGCGTCCGAGACGGCGACGATCAGCTGCGTGGCGGCCGAGCTGTACCTCGGCACGTCCCAGCTGTAAGACCAGGTGTTTGAGCTCGAGTAGCCAGCAGCCAACTCCACGGACGCCGGGATGTGGCCGAGAGGCGCCACAGTGACGGTCCATGGCGCTTTTCCGGTCGAGGCGTCCCAGCTGATCTGCATGGGTGCGCCTGAGGGCACGGAGGGACGGCAGTGGGGTCAATGCGGTCAGATAGGCGCGTCGTTCGAAAGGGAAAGGCAGACGCCGGAGGCTACTCACAGGAGCGAGGGGCGCTCACGCTCACCGCCAGCGGCTTGACGGACTGGGCGCGGCCCAGGGCGGCCAGCGAGATGAGGGCAGCTACCCCGGCTCTTGCGACCCCGAAGCCCTTGGCATAGGAACTCTTTCCCCCCATAGCGAGGAGCAAATATCGGCGAGGGCGATGGAGTGACCGTAATGAGATGCTGAGCGAGAACGGAATAAGAGTCACGGGTGGAAAGCGGGAGCAGATTGCGGCGGGATCCGAAAAAGAGACGAGATGCGAGGTGCAGAAGTGGCGAGCAAACGAGCGGAAGGGTGCCGTGACTGAGAGCGAGAAGGAGAGCGAGTGAAGAGAGCGTGAGCGGCCGTCAAAGGAGTGTCGGTGCAAGTGCCAGCCTTGGTCGTCGTCGAGAGGCGAGCAAGCAAGGAGGGGCTGCGACAGTGGTAGGTAGTCCAAGGCCGGCCCGGAAGTGAAGTCGAAGTGCTGGAAGAGTCAAAGGTGGCGAAGAGGCATCACGGTTGACGCTGGAGCGGCCAGCCGGTCGAGGTCGAAAGCAGAGGGGCGAGAGGAGGCGAGGGAAGGAGACTGGGGAAGAGGAGGGGAGGAAGGGAGGGGGCGAGAGGAGGGAGGTGTCGAGATGGATGGACGATGGTGAAGAAGAAGAGAGGTAGATGGCGGGGACCCGCAGCCGACCTCGACGTCTTGCTCCCGATGAACTGGCTTGGGGATCAAGATTCGAGCGGGCCAGGCGCGCCAGCTCCAAAGAGCCACCCATATGGACGGTACGTACGGACGTGCGCCTTCAATCAAGCGTTGCATGCTGCTACTGCTGCTGCTGGGCCGTGCAGCCAAAGCGGGTGAAGAGCAGGCCGGCTGGGCAGGCCACCCACCACCCACCAGCGAGGCAACGCCGGGCGGACCGCGTTCGGGAAAACCGAAGAGGGCTTGACAACGCCGAAGCGGTTGACGAGCGGAGCGACGCTGGGCGTTGTCAAGCCGATTGCCAGCAGCCTCGCTCGTCGTCTGAGCCGCCACCCTCCTCCTCCTCTACGCCTGCCCTTTGAGCTGAGAGAGAGGCAGGCAGGCGGCACGCGGCCAGCCAGGCAAGGGGCCCAGACTAGGCAGGCCGGGCTAGGACGTGCTCGCATGTGTATGTGCGGCTTCTGCTGCGCCCGAACGAGACCTGGCCTAGCCAGGCCTTCCCGCGCGCCCTCGGGCCGGGCCCGCCTGTCCAGCCTGGGGAATCAGCTGTCTGGCCTGCTGCAAAGAAAATCCTCTCGTCTGCCATGCGCAGATCCTTGCGCCGCTTTCTGCTCGTTCGCTGCGCTTGCTTCTGGCTCGCCTCGCTTGCCTTGCTTGCTTGCTTCAAACGAAGAGCAGCAGCAGCAGCAGATCGACAACCTACGCCCACCTGCCCGCTCGCCCTCGACTTGCTTGCTTGCTTCCCACCGTACCGAGGCTTGGCCAAGTCAAGGCATGCTCACAGCCTACGGACGAGCTAACCTAAGTGTCGGACTGAACCGCCCAATTTGGCTGCACCTCTGCGGGCCATTCGATGCACACAGCTGCACCTTTCTTGCGCCAACCTGCACATCAGAGCTCTCTTCTGTCTATCTGTCTCTTGGCCTTGCTCTCAGCGAGGCACCTGGCCTCGCGCTCCTACGCACGAGCCTCGAGCAGAGGCACGCCACACGCACGAGGAACGGCCCACCGCTTCGCCACCCTTCGGAATGAGGCCTCTGCAGCCACAGAATCCGCTTCCTGGCTCTGTTCCTGATTGGCCGAGCGAGCACCGCCTGTGGGCTGAGGCGGTCGTGAGTGGCTGAGGATGGCATGTACGTACGGCTACCGGTAGCTAAACCGCGTCGGCCCAGCCGTGGGTGAAGCGATCCGCGACAGGAAGTCGCAGCGACCCGCCGCTGCCATCGGCCGCGCCGAGGCTGGTGTCCGGTGCGGCCTCGCGAAGTCGGTAGGCCCGATGGGGTGGCAAGGGGGCCGCGTCGCCGTGGACCACCACCGAAACAGGCCTTTCGACACCGACGACGTCGCGCTGCCCGGTCCCTTCGTTGCGGCCTGCCGTCGTCACGACCTCGCCCATGCGAGCCTTGACGAACCTGGCGAGCGTGGCGCTTCTGCGCTTCATGGCTTGCACCGCGTCCATCCCGGGTCCCGCGGTGTTTGCTGCGCCCGCAGCCGCCAGGACACCTCCTCTGACGACGTGCTTCCTCTGCGTCCGCTTCGAGGGGCTGCTTGCGACCTGGCCGCCGCCGCCTGTGGCTGAACCGGCAACGGAATCGGATCGGCCCGAAGCTCGACTGGCGGCTCGGCCCTTGGACGCGGCGTAGCCTCCGATAGGGACCCGCTCGGACCTGATCCTGTCCCAACCGGCCCCGCCGTCGACCTCTTGGCCATCGTCGACGCGGGCCCGCCGTCGCATCCCAGCGTCCATCGAAGGAGCATCGGCCCGCTCGCGGAAGATCTGGTGCTGCGGGTCCCAGACGAATGTCTGCGAGAGAGAGCGGTCGTCATGGTCGGTCTCCACGGCCGTCTCCCTCACTTCCTCTTGCCGCTCAGCCCTGGCGTTGGCCTCGCGAGCTCGTTGCTGGAGGATCTCGCGCTGAGACTCGGTCTCGATCGATGGAAAGTCGTCGTTGATCGAGGGCTTGGCCGCCTTGTCGGAGACGGCGCTGGACCTCGACTTTCGGAACGCAGCGAGGCCCCTTCCGTTCGCGAGCGCGCCGTAGCTCTTGCGGCGGTCGCCTGGCTTGCCTCTGGTCTGCGATGCTTTGCCGTTGCCCAGGTTGCGATAGAGGAGGGCAGCAGCGCTGCCAGCCTCGGCATCCGGCACCTGTCTGGCCTTCTGCCTCCGCTGCGCGAGGACGGAGCGCAGGCCCTTCATCCTGCTGCCAAAGCAGAGTCCGACGGCGAGGTTGACGAGGCCGACGCAGAAGAGCAGCCACGAGACGACGAGCGGGAAATCGTCCATGTAGTGGCTCAGCACCGCCGAAGCGACAAACACCTGCAGCGTCCCCAGCGGCGCCACGCTCCAGTCGGGGCCCAGCATCGGCATGTGGATGGGGAAGACACGGTCGCGCAGGTTGCCCCAGCTGACTTCGGACAGGATGGCGATGGCCACGACGACGAGGAGGAGGGCGCGGTGCAGCTCGGCCCAAAAGATGCCCCAGACGTGCGTGGGGACCTCGGTGCCCGGGATGTAGGTGCAATCCTGCTCGTCTGCCTGGGCGCGCAGGCTGGCGTCGTTGAAGTCTTGGCCGTCCTGGATCATCATCACCAGGATGGCGACCCACACCAGCACCATCGATACCAGCGAGAGGATGCGGACGAGGTTGAGCCCCACGAACGAGAGCGTCGGGAAGCTGAAGAACGGCATGGCGGGACCAGCCTGCGCCAATGCGAGGGAGAAGGATCGTCGAAGACGGTAAGAGATTGGCCGGCCAAGTGGAAAGAGAAGCTCGCGCTGTCGGGATGGGGACCAGCCCCAGCGCTCAAGAGGTCTGTATGGAGGAATCGAGAAGAGGTGTGAGGAGGTCTGCGTTGGTAAGATTTTCGCCGTCGTGCTGCCTTTATACGGGTACGTCCGTCCGCCTGTAACCTGCGACAGCTCCACTTGGCGCACTCCGGGTGTGCAAGGTCCCCTTTGTCTCCGGATCGCCCCCGCCGTCGCGACAAAGGGACCTGGGCCCATTGACTGATGTCGGAGCGGGGCGCAATCGAGCATTAGATGAGGTCAAGGTTGGGCTCGGTCACCGAATTGTCGCCCTGCACGTCAGCGGCGCGATCCGAATTCAGCAGCAGCACATCAATTCGGCGAGTCGCTGCTCATCATGCCGTGGTGGTCCCGCTGAAGACGGACCGCTATGCCGTCGCCGTCTCGTCTCTGCTTCACTGCAATGGCTGGGATAGGCAGCGTCTGGTGGGTGGTTGCATGACCTGGGGCATATCTACAAGGCTCGTGGTGGCGGTGGCAGCGATCAGAGGCGCAGCAAGCCTCCTCAGTCGACGACGACATATCTGCTCTTGATGGGCCGCTTCTTGACGGTGCCGGCCCGGGAGCCCGGCGGAGGGGCAGGAGGGGGCGACATGGCGCTCGGCCCTCCCATCGGCGTGGCGGAGCCGGACCTGGTCGGAGGCTGGGCGGCAGGCGGCATGGTGTGGTCCGCCAGGTTGGACCGGGCACGGGCGAGACCCGGCCCGCCGTTGCGCAGAGGCAGCCCGGCTCCCGGAGGACCGGATTGCTCCTCGCTGATCGGCGGCGTGGCCCGGCCCGAGAAGCCAGAGAGGGCACTGCGAGGCGGAGGTGGCCCGCCAGAGAAGTTGCGCATGGGCGGTGCAGAAGCTGCGCCGGCTCCGCGGTCCGGTCCCGTGGCAGGCGAAGTCGTCTGTGCTCGAGGCGGCGGCGGAGGCGGCGAGGCAGGCGTGCTCGTGTCTCCAGCCTATGTGCGACGTCGCAAAGGGGGAGAGAGGCGACGGTCAGTATCGGTAGCAAGAGGCAGAGCTGGATCGTTGTTGCTCCAGCGACGCGGCCGACTCACCTTTTTGTTGACCCAGCGCTTGAGCTCCTTGTCGTAGTAGAAGGCGGTCTCCTCACCAAGGTGCGCCTTCTTGGCCTTGGCCTGTTCCGCGAGCGTCGTCGAAGAGGATCGGCCCCAGAGCCGGCCGAGCCAACTGCTCGAAGCCGAAGGCTTGAGGCCGGGCTTGTCCTCGTTGCTTTCTTTCTTGTCCTGGTCGGCATCGGCCTCCTTGGCGGCGGCTGGAGCAGGTTCGTAAGAGGAAGCGGCGCCATGGCCTCCACGAGAGTCGCCCTCGGAGGAATGGGCCTGCTTCTTCTTGCTGCTGGAGTTGCCGAGGCCCAGATCGTCGTCCTCGTCGTCCTCTTCATGGTATGCGTTGCTGGAACGGTTCTGCGAGTAGTCGGGCTGCGACTGCGGCTGGGGCGTCCTCGAATTGCGGCCCGCACCTGCGCCTGCGCCGGCAAGGGCATCCATCGGCGACACGAAGCCGCCGTCCTCGGCTGACTCGAGGCTGGGTCCATCGACGTTGCTCACAAACTGCGGCTGCTGCGCTCCGTGCGGCTGGTAGCCGTAGTAAGGCACGTCGTCGTGTGCGGCGCCGTATCCCTCGCCGGCGTCTTGTTCCTTGTAGGCGCTGTAGCCCCGGTACGATTCGCTGCGATCGTCGAAGCGATCCTGCTGGCTGCCCTGATCGTAAGTGTCGACGCTCTGGCGGCGCGAGTCGGATCCTTGCCAGCCATCCTGGTCGCTCGGCCTCGACGACTGGAACGAGTCCCTCGGTTCGTAGCTCGAGTACTCGGAGGTCTGCAGCACGTGGCCGTTTCGCGAAGCCTCGAAGGCGTGGCCAGCCGAGGGCTGGTCGCGGTCGCCGGACGGCATCTGCGACAGAGGCTGGGGCCAGGCGTGGTAGGGGTCGCGAGGAGAATGCCGGACAGCCATCGCCGACGAGGCTCGGTGCTTGGGCGAGGCGGCGCGGCGGTTGTGGTGGAAGTCCATCGCCGAGCCGGCCCGCGACTGGGGCATGCTGGGCGGCGCGTTGAGGTCGACAAACGACTGCTGGCGCGACATGCCGCCCGCCGCCGCGTCGGGCGTGATGGCCGTGTAGTGCGAGAACGGCCCGACGGGTCCGTCGCCGTTGCCGCTGCCGCCGGCGCCGCCAGAGGCACCGACACCAGGTCCGAGGCTTTTGCTGCGGGATGGCGAGGCGGTCGCCTCGTTCTCCTCTCCGGCGATGAACTTGGTAAAGCGGCCCTCGAGGGCGCCCCACACGCCGTCGAGCGTCGGGCGCTGCATCTTGCGCGTCATCCAGTTGCCGCTGCCGTTGACCTGCGGCGCACCAACCAGGCGATCCGACAGCTCCTTGAGCTGCGACAGGAGCGTGCCGTGGAGATAGGGCGAGTTCTTGCTCAGCTTGAGCGCGCCCGCGATGGCCTCGCAGTACTTCTGCGCCCGCTGGACGTCGCCGAGCTCGGCTAGGCGGTAGGCGTGGACGAGGCGGTAGGCTTGCAGGTGCGGAATGCCGGCGTAGGCGTCCTGTCCCTTGGTGATAGGCATCAGGCTCTGGGCAAACTCGAGGATCTCGGTGAGGATGATGCCGTCGAGGTCCTGCAGGTAGTGGGCCGAGACCTTTGGGCTCTGACAGCCGAGGAGCGTCATCCGCACGGCGGAAACGTCGACGCCTCCGAAGGGCGACGTGGCTGGCGCGAGGGCGTAGCAGAAGTGGGCCGCCTCGACGAGGCCGTGGACCGCGAGCCCGTCGCCGATGGCCGTGAGCGCCGCCGAATCGTTGATGCTCTTGTTGGAGAGCACGATGGCGACCGAGCCCTTCCAGTCGGGCAGCGAGGTAGGGGCAGCTGCCCCGCTCCCCGGCGAAACGGCATCAGAGGGCTGCGAGGCATCCAAGAGCATCTGCTTCTTCGGACGGAAGAGGTCGAACACTGCAGGCGCCGGACCGGAAGCGTGGGGTCGCGTCGGAGGTTAGCCACAGGCTCGCTGCCAACTCGGTCCGCAACATCGCACGCGCATCACACTACTCACCAGACACCGGGTCCTGGCCCGAGAAGACGTTGTAGGCAACCTTGAGCGTCTGCAGATCGGCGCTCGTCTGGCCCGAACTGGCGCTCAGGCCGACGCCAGCTCCGAGCTCGTCCTCGATAAAGTCGGCGACGACCGTCCTCCAGCAGTCCTTGTCCACGCAGCTGGCGATCGTCATGGCGTGAGCCCACATCTTCTGCTCGACTGCCAGGGCGACGGCCTCGCGGCGCTCTCCTCGGAGAAGCATGCTCTGGAGCGTCTCGAGGAAGCCGCGCTTGAGCTCGTAGGTGCGCAGCGTCTCGCCCGAAGATGCTGACGGCGCTGCGGCACCGAATGGCGACGCAGGTGCGAAGCGGGCCGAACCTCCGCTGCTGTCGTCGGCCTTTTCGCCAGTCAGCAGCTCGCGCACGGCGGCATCGAAAGCAGGGCTGCGGCGATTTGTGGCAAAGGGCAGGGTGTTCGGGAAGTCAGCGAAAGGATGGCGTCGTCCGGGAGCGGTCGCAGGCGTTGTGCTTGGTACTCACTTGTTGGTCGTTTGAGCGTCATGGACGAGGATTAGCCGCAGCAACTTCAGAAGCGCCACCTTGTCTTCGGCCCTCTGACACTCGAGCTGAGAGTTGGTGCCGCGCGATGCAAGGCTGGCCTCATGATCCACGTCGCCGCTGGCCGAAAAGGACGGCCGACGACGCAGATAGCCGATGCCCGCTTCGACCTCGCCGATCTTTTCGTCGAGGTGCTTGATAAGCGCGGCCTTTTTGGCTTTGGCACCAGCATTGGCGCCGCCAGTGGCTCGCGACAGCGCGGTCGCGGAAGCGCCTTCAAAGGCCGGACCGGGGAAGTGCAGCGGATCGAAGGCGGTGGCGTAAGACGACGAAGGAATGACGGCCGAGAGCGGCTGGATCGTCACGCTTGTCGGTGCGCCGCTGCCGCCCATGTAGCCATAGCCGCCGTACCCGCCATCGCTGGCGCCGGTCTGGTCGCTGGACGACGCCGTCGGGAAGTACATCACAAGCTGTCCGCCAAAGCCGAAGCTGACGATGGGGATCTTGGCGTTGCGCATCTGCTCCTGCATGTCGACGCCCGAGCCCGAGATCGAGCTTGGATACGAGGCTTCGCTGGCATAGGACCTGGCAGCCTTGCCGGGGTCGTAAGGCGATGCCGGAGCGGCGCCGACGCCGCCCGCAAAGCCCGACGAATGGGATGGAGATGCGTAGTGGGCGCCGCCGTCGAAGTAGTTGCCGCTCTCGCCGTTTCCACCTGCTCCCGGTGTGCTCGGCTGTCGGTCGGCGGCGCCATGGTCGGCGCGGCCGTGCGGGGCAGCATAAGAATCGGCGGAGTCGTAAGGCGCGCGGTATCCGTCCCCACCGCCACCTGTCGCGTCGATGGAGCGCTGCGTGACCGTGCCCGCCCGCTTGAGACCCTGCGAGGCAGGCGCTCCGTACGGGCTGGCGTAGGCCTCGACAGCCGGCGAGCTAGCATCCGACCAAGGAGGCCGGCCAGTTGTGGCGTGCGGCGTTCGTGCGTCGTCCGCATCGTCCTCGTTGTCGTATGGTCGGCTGTCCGACAGCTGCCGCTCGTGCTGCTGCTGTCCGTCGTGCGACGGAGCGTACGGGTCTGCGCTACCGCCATACGGAGCGTACGAGCCGTAGGTGTCGTCGGCAGAGGGGTGGGATCCGTAACCGTTGGGCTGGTGGTGCGACGCGTTGTAATCGGACGTGAAGCCGCCGTGGGACGGCGCGTACGGGTCATAGGGGGACTGTCCGTAGGCGGCGAAGCCATTGTCCGGCTGCCCCGGCTGCCCCGGCTGCTGCTGCGGCTGCTGCGACTGCTCGGGCTCTGAACTCCCCTGGTCGCCCCACTGCGACTGTTGGTAGCCGCCATACGTGCCGTCTGTGACGCCGGCGGGCGAGTAAGGGTCGTTGCTGGCGTGCCCCGCGGCCCGAGGCGCGTACGGATCTGCTGCGGCGTCTTGCGCGACCTGCTCTGTGTCCAGACCATAAGCCTGGCCAGGACCAGCCGGCTGAGACCCTTGAGCTGGGCCGTCTTTCTGCGGTGCGTACTGGCCGTCTTCAGCGTTGCCAGTAGCAGCCTGGTCATCCTCCGCCTCGTAGGCTCCGCCGTAGCTAGACGAATCTTGAGTCTCGCCTCCCTCGGGAGGGGCCACCATCTCGGCCTCGCCATGGCGAGCAAGCTCGGCTTCCTCACCCGCGATGCCGCCGGCGGCAACACTCTCTTCCAGGCCCTCATCAATGTGCTCCTGGCCGTTGAGATCGAGTTCCTGCAGGGCATCGACGGCCTGGTCGACCAGCTCGGGGTCTTGCAGCTGCATCGGCTCCTGAGCTTGCAGCTGAGCGTCTGCATCCTCACCGAAGTGGTTCTCGACGCCGTCCGGATGGTAGACGACCGACGCCGTGGCATCCTCGTCCGTGACGGTGAGCATGGGGGGAGCAGGCCCATCCTCGACGGCCGGTGGCGTAGCTGCAGCATCCTCGAGCTGGTTGACCCAGCCGTAGGCCTGCTGCCCAAACGCGCTGGGAGCTTCGCCGCCTTCCCAGGCCGCATCGGCTCCGGCATTCTGCTGCTGCACATCGATCCCGCCGTCCTCACCGCCGTGTTGAGCCTCGTCCATTCCCCAGCTGTAGCCATCTCCGTCGGAAGCAGCCGGCACCGCAGCTGTCGCGTCTTCCGGCGCTGCGGCAACTGGCTCGATCGCGGGAGCGCTGACCGGAGAGGCAGGTTTCGGGCTCCTCCTGGCCGGTCCGCGCGGGGGCCCACGGGGTGGGCCTGCGACGGGTGGAGGCGGCACCGACGATAGAGTGCCCGCTCCCATAGCGGGCGAGACCGGCGTTGCTGGTTCGTACGGACTCGCAGCTCGAGCCTGACTGTTCGGCATCGTCGAAGCTGGAACCGATGGTGCTGGCACGGGGTCGTACGGGCTCGGAACTCGAGCCAGAGTCGCGGCAGTCGGAGGCGGGGGTGCGATGGCCGTGGCATTCGTGTGGCTGTAGTCGTAGGCACCTTGGTTGGTCTGGTCGGCCGAGTAGCTCGAGCCGTAGTCGGCGGCGACGGCAGTGGCCTCAGCACGGTAGCCGTCGTTCAGCTGGGCCTGCTCCTGCCAGTAGCCCTGGTTGTCAGCGGCCTGGCCGGACGACTGCTGGGGTGCGTAGCCATAGCCGTCTGTCCCAGTCGAGTCGTACGCGGCGCCGTCGTAGCTCGCGCGTGACATGGCGGAGTCGTATGAAGCGTAGTTGGCCTGCTGCGGGTCGTAGGCTGCCTCTCCGGACTGTCCGTAGGCGGAGGCGTCGTAACCGCCGTAGCCTGCGTGCTGCGCATCGTGCGCCTGGTAGTCGTGCTGCTGGTGTTGGTCATGCTGACCAGCGTACTCCTGGCCGTACGGCAGCTGTTGGGTCTGGTCGTAGGTTGCTGCGGCGCCCTGAGCACCGTAGTCGTACTGCTGCTGGTCGTACTGGTAGTGCTGCTGCTGCTGCTGGTCGTACTGCTGCGGTGCGTAGTCGTACTGCCCGTCGTACTGCTGCTGCTGCTGCGGCTGCGAGTAGTCGTAGGCATACGACTGATCGCCATACTGCTGCTGCTGCTGCGCATCGTAGCTCTGGTCGCCGTAATAGCCGTGCTCGGCGTAGCCCTGGCCAGCCTGCTCGCCGTAGCCGTCTGCCTGAGCACCGTACTGATCGTGCTGGCCGTAGCCGGCTTGGCCCTCGACGCCGTCATCTGCGACCTGCGGGTCATTGGCAGTGATTGATGCATCGAGGGTCACTGGTGCCTGCGTCGTATCTACCTTTGTCCCTCCGAGCCAGTCGTCGTCGTAGCCCGATGTCGAGGTGAAGAGCTTGCTGGGTGAAGGTGGGCCCGAAGAGCCAGAACTGGCCGGCGTGGTCAGGGATGGCACCCCCAGGCGGCCGTTGTCGGTCTGTGAACCATCTGCGGGGGACGCCGCAGCACCAAACAGGTCGTCGCTCGTCGGTGCACCGTCCGCTGAGCCTCCGAAGAGGGAGGCGGCCGCATCGGCGGGGTCTCCCTCTGCCGCTTCCTCTGCGAGCGACACGAGCGGGGTCGGAGCCTTTTTGGGCGTCGCTGGCGAGGTGATGCTGGCGAAGGGGTCGTCGCCGGAGCCGCCGAATAGACTGGCCGCGTTGCCGACGCTAGGCTGGGGCCCGTGCCCACCACGCCTGGGTGTTGTCTGCGAGACGGCCAGGCTGCCGCTCTCGTCCTGCTCCTGCGGCGGTGCCGGCGAAGCGTCCGAGGAGAAGAGGTCTGCCATCGTGGGCGGGCTGAGCAGGCGAGGCCTGTATGAGAGGCGTGCTCAGCAGGGGTTGAAAGGATGCGGGAGGCGGCTGCTGGAGGCCAGGCCAGCAGAGACGGCGGGAGAGAGCGGTGGATAAGCTGAGCAGGCCAGCCAGGCAGTTGCTGGCAGCAAGGGGACGCTCAAAAGGGTTGCAGAGGGAGCTCAGCAGGCGAAGCACATCAAGACGTTGCGTCCGGGCCGTCGTGCGGGTGCGATGGAGGATGTCCAGAGTCGCCGATGTGGACGCGTTGGCGCCAGCGGAAGGGAGGACAGAAAGGAACGGCAATAGAGAAACGGGGCGGTGGTGATTGCGACGGCGTTGGGAGCTTCGGTCGCCGTTGCTAAGTGGTCGTCGTCGTCGATGTCGTCGTCAAAAGGTGCCGGAGGCAAGCGGGGTGGTGTTGAGCGGGCCGGCCACTGCACGCGGGGAAGCCAGACGAACGAGGGCCGTCGTCGGGGGCACGGATCGGAAGATTCGCGAGTGAGGCTGAGGCAAGGGGGGGGAAAGGAAATAGGCAGGGCCGAGGCGACGTGATGGAGACTGAGAAGGCCTGCTGGAGCCGGCGGCGTCGAGGTCAGGCAAGCAAGGCAGGCAGGATGGAGTTGACAGGCGAGAGCAGGCAGGTCTCCTTGCGTGCACGCTTGGCTTGGTTTGTTGGCTGGCCAGGTTGTCGTTGGCTGGCCTGCCTGTCTCGCTGGACGTTTGCTCGCTCGCTGCTCGCTCACCTGCCTGGCAAGAGCCGGACCGGCTTGGGGCGAACGAGCCACGCAGCAGCTCCCGACCGCGGGTGGGCGAGTGGCAGGCCGCCCGCTGGGTTTTCATGACCCGCCCGCACTCCGCCGCTCCTTGGCTGGACTGGCAGGCTAGCAGGCTGGCTGGCTGGCTGGCAGGCTGGCCCTGCCGCCAGTCAGCCGCCCACGTCTCCGCCCACAATCGATCGCGGCTCAACCGCCCATCGGAACCGGCCGCCGGCTGCCCTCCACTTGGCCGCCACCCGCTTGACCCTCGACCTCGACGACCTCCAGACCCCCTCGACAGCACTACTACTCGCATCGCCTGCCCCACCTTTGCTGCGAGACTACCGTCTACGCCCTCTCGAGCAACCATGGCGGAGGCGGCCACTCCGACCGTGCCGCAGCTCAACGCGGACCAGGCCCGCATCGTCTACGAGAACCGCCTCAGAGGTGAGTTGGGTCGGATCGTCGCCGATGCTGCACACCGCTGAGCGAGAGCCCAGTAGGTCGAGCTGCTTGGCTGACATGCATGCGTCCTCCTACCTCTCTTGCCCTGCTTCTCTCCGCTTGCGCCCCTCTACGCAGCTCGAGCGCGGCTACGCCAGCAGGCGCAGGCGCAAAAGGCGCGCTACCGTGGGCGCAACGCCGGGGCGGAACCCGCTCCGGCGTCCATCGGGCCCAATGCCGACCTTCGCAGCGTCCCGTCGACGAGCCGCAATGCGCAACTGCGACCGGGAGAGGTCCGCATCGTCGGTTCCAAGGGCAACGTAGCGCGCGGCGGCGGCGGCGGCGGCGCTGCCGACGATCCCAATGCGCCGCTGCAGCGCGACAAGTCGCTGGGCAACTACATCGAGTTTGACCTGAGCAAGCTGCACAACTCCAAGGGTGGTTTCCTCGTCGACGAGGAGGATGCGCCCGGGTCGGCAAAGTCGCTCGACGACCTGCGCAAGGAAAAGGAGCGCGAGCGCCAGCGGATGAAGCCCTACCTCGAGCCCGGCATCTCGCTCGACAAGGAGACGCGCCCGACGTGCGAGGTGTGCGGCTCGCCCGAAATCATCGAGCTGCCCTTCCGCAAGGTGTTTGGCATCGACGTCTGCAAGCGGTGCGAGCGCGAGAGGCCCGAGGTCTACTCGCTCCTCACAAAGACCGAGGTCAAGGAAGACTACCTCCTCACCGACGCCGAACTGCGCGACGAAGAGATCCTCCCGCATCTCCTCAAGGCCAACCCGCACAAGGCCACCTACAGCAACATGATGCTCTTCTGCCGCAAGCAGGTCGAGGCCTTTGCCTTTTCCGACGCAAAGTGGGGCAGCGAGGACAACCTCGACCGCGAGTTTGAGCGGCGCGAAGAAGAAAAGGTGCGCAAGCGTGGCAAAAAGTTCCAGCAGGGCCTGGCCGACCTCCGCAAGCGGACGCGCGACAACGTGTGGCAGCGCAGAAAGGACGAGGAGCACCACCACGAGTGGGAGGAGGTCGAGGACCGCGGGCACACCAAGCAGCGCTGCAAAGAGTGCGGCCACGAGATCGAGGTCGAGGTGTTCTAGGCGCGGGCCGCAGCGTCGACTGCGCTGCGACGCCCGGCGCGCCCGTGTGTACTGTACTGTATCCTTTTGCTCCTTACGCTACGTGTATTCCTATCGATTGCTTTGGCTCAGCGGCGGCGTGCGCGCCGTCATCAGTAGATTTCGGCCATCATGAGGGCCACGGTCGAGGTCCAGCCGGTGAAGGGGTGGCCGCGCTGGCCCCGGCCGTCGACCGGGTTGTACTGCTCGTACACGTAGCCGGTCCGCTTGTACTCTTCGAAGACGTTCTTGACGACATTGTGCCGCAGTTCCTCGTAGATCTTTTGCGCCTTGGCCTGGTACGGGCCGGGTTGGGCGGCGTAGGTCTGCACAGCGGGGGAGGAGCAGGAGAGTGAGGCGCGCATAGAGGTCAGACGTCGAAGCGGCAGCGGCAGCGGCGGTGGCGGTGGCGGTGGCGGTGGCGGTGGCCAAGGTCACGAGCCTCGCCCGGCCCTACTCACCGACTTGAGCGCGCGCAGCGCCAGGTAGCTCATCTGGACCCAAATGGGACCGCGCCAGTAGTTTTCGCCCTGGCCAAAGTGCGCGTCCTGCGGGCTGAGGCTGCGCAGGCCGTAGTCGCTCCAGAGATGCTCCGGATCGCGCATCAGGTCGAGGATCGCAGACACCTTGGGGCTGTCGACCGGCAGCAGCTCCAGCAGGAGCGGGAAGAGCGACACGTAGCCCTTGTGGCAGACGAAGAAGGATTGATCTGCGCGTGCGGTCCCGCGAGGACGGAAGTGCAGGCAGGCACGATGTCAGCAGAGGCTCGCTCGCCATCCTCACCCTGCGTGCAGACCCGGCCTGCGGCCTGGGGCCGGCGACCCACTCACCGTTCTCGTCGACCGAGGCGTCGCAGTACATCTGCTCGTCGTCGTTCCAGTGCAGGTCGTCAAGGTTGGCCCGGATCGCCTCGAAGTGATCGCCAAACTCCTCGGCATCGTCCTGCTGCCCGATTGCCCGCGCAATCTTGGCCATCGTGTTGGCGAAGCTGCCCATCCACGACATCAGATCGACGTGGAGTTCGCCCGTGTGCGGTACGGGCGCACGCGGGTAGTCGTCGAGGCCGCTCGTCAGCACGTGGTTCTTGTCCCTGCCGCGCCAGCGGTAGGCCTCGCCGCGCGCCGTGGCCCGGCGGTCCCACTCTTTGATCTCGCCGCGCTGCGTCTTGCGGAACCAGCGGTAGTGGCGGCGCAGGTGCGGGTAGATTTCGCGCAGGAAGGCCTGGCCCAGCAGCGGAGACGAGAGGTGGCGGTCCGGCAGCGCGCCCGCCTCGCCTGCGAACTCCTGGAGGTGCTGCGGATCGAGGCCGAGGGCGTCGAAGCCGGCCTCGCTGGTGCGCTCCTTGAGCCGGTCGAGGTACGCGGCGACGGCCAGGATCATCGTCGGCGGGTTGGCGTAGCCCGGGTACTGGGTCTCGAAGCCCTGCGGCACACGGCTGCGCGATTCGTCGCCGAGGATCTGCTCGCGGGCGACCCAGCCGTCATCGTCGATGAGCCTGATCCAGCTGCGCAGGATCTCGAGGCTCAGGTCGTTGTCGTACACGCCGACCAGGGCGAGGTGGAAGCCCTCGTCCCAGTAAAAGCCGCGCGGAAAGATGCTGCGGCACGGCGTGGCGGTGAGCAGCTCGGCGGGCTCGGTGGGCTGCGGGTTGGCGACGCCCTTGGTGTCGACGTCCATCGCGCCGCTGCCAACGTCGTACTCGTGGACAAAGGTGCGGTCGACGATCGACGGCCCGTACGAGTAGCCGATGCCGCCGATCAGGCTCGAGGTGAGGTCGCGCGCGAAATCGACATCGGCCGCCGTCGTCCCGTCGCCTGCGCCGGCGGAGAGGCCGGTCACCTGCGAGAAGCGGGCATCGTAAGCTGCCTTGGACGCCTCGAGGCCCTGCGTCAGGCCCGCCGACGTGAGCAGCTCGCCCCTCGGCGTCGAGGCGCTGTCGAAGAAGACGTCGAACGAAAAGTTGCCCGAGAAGCTCTTCTGCAAGGCGAAGAAGTTGGAGCCGGGCTCGACGAGGTCCGTCAGCTGGACGCCCACGCGCGGCGGCGGCATGTTTTCGCGGCCGTAGGTCTGCGTGAGCGACTGGAGCGTCTTGACCAGGTCCGATGTGATGATGTCCTGCGCCCTCCACGCCATCTCGCCCGGGACCCGCCGGCCAAAGACGTGCGTGCGTCGCAAGGGGTCCTGGCCGTCGTCGCCGTGCTTGCCGCCCTCCTCGATGCGCAGCGTGAACTCGCCCAGTGTCGCCGTAGCGCCCTTGAGCTGGATCGACTCGTGCGAATCCATGCCGTCCTCCTCAGCGTCGGAATCGAGGCTGAGGATGCCGTCGAGCCCTTCGAGAGAGCTGTACCAGAAGGTGGCCAGGTTCGCCGGCTTGGCTGTGCGGTCGTCGCCGTCGTCGCGGCAGAAGGACCAAGGTCATCGTCAGCGTCGTCAGCGCATGCCTCGTTCCCGCCTTCGCCAGCAACGCACCTGGATCCATGACGGTGCCCGACACCCTGGCGCCCCAGCTGCCGCCCGAGGGGTTGTCGGTGTCGACCTTGAGGAAGCTCGTCTCGAGGCGGTAGTTGTTGACGTTGTCGTTGATCTCCTGGATGCCAAACGTCCGCCCGTCGTGGTACTTCCACGCGAAGCCGTGCATTCCGTCCTGGTCGCTGCACTTGTGGCGGAACTTTTGGAAGCCGCTGTAGTCGTTGAGCCCGAACCACGCCAGGCCGCTCAGCAGCGTCTCGGGCAGCTTGGGCCGCAGGCCAAAGTAGATCTGCGGCCGGTACGTGCCCCACAGCAGCGACGCATCGGCCTGCTTGCGCGCTGCTACGACTTCTGGGGCGGACAGGAGCTGCGCCGTGCCGCTGTCGAGGCCGCCATCGTGGTCGAAGTCGTCGTCGTCGGCGGCGTCGTGGAAGCGGTCGAAGGACGAGGCCAGCGCGGACGACAGCGAAAGAACGAGCACGAGGCAGAGGGCCAGGCGGCTCCAGTAGAGTCTGGCCGTCTTCGTCGCAGGCATCGTGTCCCGCAGATGCTGCTCCGTGGTGTCGCTACGAGAAGTGAGGGTGAGGTGCAATGGCAAGCAAGTGGTCCGAGAAGCCTCGCGAGAAGAGCGGATACCAACCGTGTCGTCTGCCAGCAGCTTTTGCAACCCCCGCGGTCTGTGCGCGCCCAGCTTCTTCCTGCCTCGGAGGCTGAAAGATTCCCTCAACGCCAGCAGCACAAGCCCCTGTCATGCTGACAACAGTTCTGGCACAAGGAAGCCCATTTTGCCTTTCTGACTGCAACAGCAGCACACTGATGGCCTGTGAACATGAGAACACCATCAAAGTTGTTCATGTCTGAGGTGCACGATGCACTCTCCTTGATCTGCCTGACAAGGTGTCGATCACGCTGCACCTTCTGCTCTTCTGAAAGACATGTGTGTGGCCCTTCTCAGCGGCAGACATGTTGAGGCGGTACTGCAGAGGATGACCCTCCTGCAGCTTGTCTTTGCCACTGGCCTGAGGATCGGCTCCCTCTGCGCAACGGACCCCGACAACAGCAAGCATCTTGGGATGCTGCAGAGGGATGTCAAGTTCGAGCAGCATCGCCTAGGGGAGTACACACTCATCTTGCACATTCATCACCTCAAGGGCTTCCAGTCCGCCGTCAAACGCCGCTCCATCCACCCCCGGCTGCCACCTCTCCGCGTGGCTACCAACGTTGCCCTTGAGGCAACTCCAAACCTCCTTGTCCTCCTCATCAAGCAAGGAGCACTGAAGGAGAAGGGCCCCCGCAGCAGGATCATCAAGTCGGTTGCTGAGCTCTTCAAGTCCAAGACAGCTTGCTTCACCAGGTTTTGCTGCCCAAATATGGCCTTGCTGTGGCACAGCTCATGTTGCTTGCATCCATTCACCAGGCTGCTGCAGCATTGTTGAGAGCCAATGGAAGAGCAGCTTGAGTGCTACAAAAAGTGCTTCTGTGGCCAGGCTGGACTGTCTTCAGCTTGTTGATCTGGTTGACGATCTCTCGAAGGACTGATGATGCACCGACTGATGCAGTGTTGCCGTGTCATCAGTCTTCGGCCCCTCGACACCTTGACCTTGTTGATTGCATGCAGCACTCGAGGCTCGTCATCAGTCCTATGAAGCTAACCTGACCGTTTTCCCAGCGGTGTGGCACGTCCCCGTCACGGGTGGCACGGCCGTCCTTTGTCCGTGTATCGCGGCAAGCACGAATTGCACCGTCGACTGAGTTCCACTACGCTCGCTCGCTCGCCGTACCCGCCGAACATGGCTATAGCGCCACGATGTGCACCGTCGACTAAGAGCCGCCCACCCCCCGACCGGCCGGCGGGACGCCTCTCGCGAGCGCGGGCGCTGGCACGATGCGGCGTCGACGACGGCTTTGCCGTCCGGCGTCACTCTCGGAATGTCAGCGATTCGTCTCTGCCGCCCTCGAACAAAGACGCTCGTAGAGGCTAGGCCTACCGTAGCTGACCGGCTTGTCCAGTCACAGCGTCGACCGGTCGAGCTCTCGTCGCAGCAATCGGAGCGGCGAGGGCGCACTGTCACGAGCGACGGGCGGTTCTTGGCGTGCCAGAGGAGCCGTTCGACTGCCGATGCCTTCCGTTGCTCTTCCGCTCGTGGTCGTCACAGCAATGTAGAGTCTGTCAAGCGGGGCCGTCTCGCCATGGCTGTCCCGCACACCGTGGCACGGGGCAGGATGGCGTAGACTGGAAAGCTTCCTCGAGGCGGCGACGTAGGTGGGTTTTAATTGTCGCAGGACAGCGCCGATGACGGACAGCGGCGCTGCATCAGGAGCGTGTACGAAGGGCACTAGCTCGATATGTCTCAACGCATGGAGAGAGAAGGGCCCGGTCGAGGTCGACGCACTCTGGCGCACGGCGAGGATATTTCTTGAAATCTTGCAGCAATCTAACGAGGGTGAATACAGATACAGGGGCTGGGGAGATGTGCTGGGTAACAGAGGAGTGAGACGGGAGTAGCGTCGGGAGGGGTCGATGGTGGAAGGGGGTCGGACGTCGAGACGATCACTTCTGGGTGAAGAGGCCCGTCTGAGGCGTCTCGATGCGCTCCGAAATGGTTCCGAAGAGGCGGTCCCAAACGCGCGTTTGCTGTGGAGGTTGGGGGGCAGATCGGGGGAAAATGAGAAATCGGGCCGAGACGCGTGTCAGCCGCTGCCGCCACCACCTCGACTACTCACACCGCGGCCGCCGATATCGACGCCGCAGCATCCGGGGATCACCAATGCGCACCTTGCCGTAGTTCATACCGCTCTTGCCGAGGCGATGGTGCAATTCGTGGTCCTCAACTGCCAGCTCGCAGCCAAACGGCTTCAGAACAAGGCCCAGGACCGGGTGGGGCCACACAGCGCGGATGCCTGTTGATCAGAAGGGAGACAAGCGCGGCGGGGTCAGCGACGGCTGCCAGAGCGATGGGAACGACGACGGCAGTGCTCAGAATGGAGATACGAACCGGAGTGGCCGAGGGCCTCGACGTAGAGCGTGTAGCAGACGACGAGCCAGAGCTCGATGAAGGACATCTTGGGCGAGACGGCCGTGGCGAGGAAGGGAACGATGAAGACCTCGAGGACCTCCTGGTAGTCGTCGGCGAGGATCGACAGAATGGGCGTGGGGTGCTTGGTGGCGTGATGCTGGCGGTGGATGAACCAGAGCGAGTCAAACTCGTGGCAGCTACGGTGGTAGAGATAGAAGAAGTAGTCGAGGGCGAGTTCCCACCATGCGAGCTTGAGCGGAGTTGCCCAGGAGAGGCCGGTGAGAGGGGCGGTCATGTCGCCGCGCCAGGCGAGGAGGAAGGGGGCGACGGAGCGGAAGATGGTGTAGATGAAGATGGACTGTCCGAGGTGGTTGACGTGCTTGTCGTCGACCATGTCGCGTCCGCGGTTCTGCTCGTCGAAGGTGCCGTACTCGGCCATGTAGCGGTGGAGGCGCTTGATCATAGTGTGGGCGAAGAGGATGAAGGCGAGGTGGTACATGACCCATGCGGGGGCCCAGTGCATCTTGTGGTCGGGCAGGAGGTAGTTCCAGGCCGTGTGGATGACGGGGCCGACGGCGGCGGTGCGCAGGATGAAGAAGTTCTCCTCCCACATGGGGCGGACGGGCGGGGGTCCGCGCATCTCGGCCTCGGCGGGGCGCTTGGCGTAGCACACGTCCGGGCCGATGTCGAGCGAGGCGACAAACTCCCACAGGTTGCGCTCCTTCCACGGCTTGAGGTGCCACGTCGTCTTGGGGCGGACGCCGTACACCTTGTCGAAGCCCTCGCCCGTCTCAGAGTCGATGGCGATGGCCTTCTTGCCGTGGCCGCCGGGCGCCTGCGGTGCGGGCTCATCGCACGCATTGTCCGGGGCGATGGTGTGGATTTCGCTGTCGGTCAGCTGCTGGTCGCCCATCGAGGGGCGCGTCCGTGGGGCCACGCCGGCCTCCTTTGGGATCTCGGCGGCGCTCGCCATGTTGGTTGGTGATAGCGGGTGGCGATTGTACTTTCTGTTGGTTGCAAAGAAGATGTCGGTGATGAGGATGGTGGGGTGATGTGTTGGGTCTAGGTTGTCCGAGGGGCTAGAAGGGATGCATTTCCGGCCAGCTATGAGTTATATACCTATACTGGCCGCGGAGGTCGGCGGCGAGCATGTGAGACTCGCGCTCCCGCTTCAGCCTGCCTATTGCGGGAGCCGAGGGCCTCGACGGTGATGACGATGAACGGGCGGAGACGGCGGCGGCGGCGGATGGGTAGGGCACCAGGCGTCGCACCAGTGCGTTCACACTAGACCCAGCTGCCTTCTCCTCTTCACGGACCGCCACCCCTCTGGCCTTCTCGCGAGCAGCGGCTGCCATGGGCGGCGCGGGGCGTGTGCAGCGACGTTGAACCGGCTGTTGAAATCGCACCAGAGGCAGGCGTCCGTCTGCACGCAGCTCTGTTTGCCTGTGTGCACCTACCCTCTATCCGCTGCCATCCAGCTCGGACCCCGCGGTCGCGCACCGAGGTCGCAGCGCCGTACCGTAGCGTGCGTCTTAGCACATCAAATCAAGGCTGGATTTCACAGCAAGCCCAGCCACCTGCCTGCCTCGTCGAGCGAACCGACCCTGAGAGCTCGCTTGGGCACAGCGCCCGCGATAGAGGCAGCAACTCTTGTCGACGATCGCAACCCCAAGAGCGAGCGGGGTCCAGCCGTTGCGTTGACAGTCGCGAGGCATCCAAGGCAGGGCTTCCAGAGATTGCTTTGCATTTCGCCACACTCGGTGCCACGTCACAGGCTAGGGAAATCCCCGCCCAGTGGGAGACGGAGCGTGAAGAGCAGCGGTCCATGAAACGACGGGGGCAGGGCGGGGCGGGGCGGGGCTGGGGTCAAGGCGTGACGTCTTTGCTCTGGTTGGCTGGCGCTGGAAGAGAGAGAGAGGGAGAGCTTGCCGTGCTGGAAAAGTTTGACGGTCGAGTCGAAGCGAGCGGCTGTGGCTGCTTGCCAGGCGTAGATCCCCAGGCGGTGCGCGGTGCGGCTCAACAACGGGCGTAGGGGCCACAAACACCGTCCGACGTAACGGGCAGCTGGCGAGTTCGGCTCCCGACATCGAGCCTCGTCTCGGCATTTGGGCTGCGCACGTCGAGAGCAAAAGGGCGAGGATTTTGTCTCGTGAGAGGGCTCAGCCGATTCGGCCTCCTCTCTCGTACGACTTGGCCGCCGCGTTTGGTAAGCAAAGACACCTGCGGTGGCGGCGCGACATACAGACCGGCGTGAAAGGCTCCTCCGTCAAACACGGCGTTCTTCCTGGCTCGACGGTAGATACCGTACCCCGCACATCGAAGCCACCGGACCGACGTGTTTCTGCCCGAGATCCAGGGGGGGTCGTCGCTGAATTAGAGCTTTGTTTCCGGGGTCGGGAAGCTTTCCTCGGCCATCGCCGGCCTGTCCGACCATGACGTGGGCCGCCTTCCGCTGCAACTTCCGCCGCCGCCGCCTGGAGGTTGACTACGCCACCCGCGCCTCGCCAACGACGTACTTCCGACCCGAACCGGATATGCGCACCCTCCGTCCCTTCGCCGCCGTTGCGACGCGTTGGTAAGCAAAGCCAGGCCAGGCACGACGGTTCTTCTTCGACGCCATCAGGATCGCGCCGCCGTTTGGCGAAGGGCATTCCGATCCTTGCACCACGCTACCGTTAGCTCGCGAGGATACGAGCTTGTCGTCGACATCATGGCCAGCCCGGCAACGGCGTTGAAACGACTCGCGACGTAACAATGTTCGCAATCACGGACGGACATCTACGGGAGGAACGTCTCCGCATGTCTGCCCGGAGTCCATGGGTAAGGTTTACGTTACAGGCAGCGGCAAAGGCAAGGGCGGATCCGGTAGACTCGATCCGAATCTACGACAGAAGAGGCCGGTGATATCCTAGAAATCTAGGAACGAGAACAAAGCGAAGATCGCGCGACGACCTCGCGGCGACCTCGCGGCGACCTCGCTCAGACAAAGAGCGAGGCCACGGCGCAGGCACCGCCAATGACCAGCGAGGCGACCATCGAGCAGGTGCCAAAGGCGGCGACGCTGGCCGACTTGGACGCCGTCGACGAAGACGACGACGACGACGAGCCCTTGGCCTTGTCGATGCTGCCCGAGGCCGTGACGGCGGCGGCGCTGCCGCCCGTGGCCTGAGCGCCGCCGTTGCTCGTGTACGACGCGGCCAGCTGCGGCTTGTAGTCGGCGTCGCTGGCCTTGATCGTGGTGCCGCTGGGCAGGCCCTTTGCGTCAATCTTGCCGCTGGTGTAGTCGGCAAAGTTGGGGTAGGTGATGTCCATGTCCGGGTACGGCTTGGTCTGGTTCTTGCACGCCGTCAGCGGCACAATGTGCTTGAACGCGGCCTGGATGTTGGCGTACTGGCCCATGAACTCCTGCATCGTGGCGTCGTTGATCTCGTGGGTGAGGACAATGTTGCCGCCGCTGGCCGACTGCTTGCCGATGATGGTCTTGTAGTTGTTGTCGACGTCGGCCTTGGACTTGGTGCCGGCGGGGGGCAGCTGCCAGTCGTCGGTGTCGTCGGTCCAGATGACCGTCTCGAGGCCCAGGCCCGTGGCGATGCCGCGGACGCGGTCGTCGACGTCGCCGAACGGAGGTCGCCAGCACGTGGGCGTGACGCCGACGACGTCCTTGATGACCTTGGCCGTGTAGTAGAGCTCGGCAAACACCTGCTCGTCGGGGAGCGCCGTCATGTACTGGTGGCTCCACGTGTGGACGCAGAGGTGGTGGCCGTCGACGAGGCCGCGCTGGGCCTCGAGGGGCCAGTCGAGGACGTTGGATCCGATGTAGAAGAGCGTGGCCTTCTGCTTCTTCTCGAGCAGGAAGTCGTAGAAGGCGTTGTGGGTGCAGTTGGGTCCGTCGTCAAACGTGAGGCCCCAGGTGCTGGGCTCGGGGCAGCTGTACGTGTCGGCGGGCAGCTTGTCGTGCTTCGGCTTGACGCATCCGTTGAACGTCCACCAGCAGTCCGGGTCGGTCTTGTCGTAGGTGGGGGTAAAGGCGCTAAAGTCGCCGTTGGCGGTGCCCTTGGGCTTGACGCTCGTGGGGATGATGCCCGAGCCCTGGATGGTCTTCCAGACGTCCTGCGCCTCAGAGTCGCCGCTGACGATGGTGGCATTCTCCCACGGCTTGGGGAACTTGTTGGCGATGGCGGCCACCTCGGGCAGGTTGTAGGCGGTGCACTCGGCCACGGGGTCGGAGATCTTGGCCGCCGAGGCCTCGTCGGTGGGCGCGGCGCGGCGCTGCAGGTGCTCGGTGGGAGTGCCGCGCTTGTGGACGATGCGCATGTACTCGCCCGAATCGCGGTGCCGCTGGTAGAGCGAAGGGATGTGGCTGATGTCCTGGGGCACGCCGCGGCCGATGCTGGCAACGGCCGACGACGCCAGGCCGAGGGCGGCCAGCACGGCGGTGGTGGTGAGCTTCATGTTTGACGAGACGGGACGGGACCGGGCGCGTCTAGCGCAGCTTGCTTTGGCGTGTGTAGTCGGGCGACGATAAGGATAGCGGCAAAGGGGGACCAAGAAAAGACCGTGAGTCGGAGCGAGCGTTTGTCGTCGAAGCGCTAGCTGTTTAGACTAGGGTGGGACGACGATAGTGTTGGGGGGCGGAGGAAAAGACGGGGTCGGAGCGGGGCTCTCGGATGGTGGTTGGGAAAGGGGTTAAAGAGGGGGAGGAGGATAGGTCAATCTTAAGGGGGGCGAAGGGGGAAGGGCAGGGAGCAGGAAGCCGTGTGACATGCCGCCGGCGCTGGCGCACCAAGGAGGCGACCCACTTGACCCTCGCCCCCACCTTGCCCCTCGCCGGCGGCGGTCATCGTAGGGTTGTCGAGGGGCGGGCCATGCACGAGCGCCGAAGCAGAACGACAGAAAGGAACAAAGGCCGAGCTGGCGGCGGCGGCGGCGGCGGCGGCGGAGGAGGAGGAGATGAGCCCCCGAAAACTGGCTCGCTCCAGATTACGTGTCGGGAGAGCGACGACGTCCCAGTACAGTAACTTACGACGTCGGTGTGGGCGTCGACGGCAAGTGCACGGCGAGGATCGACATGGTTCAGAGCGACATGGCCTGCTTCTCGAAGCGACGTCCCTCGCCCACTGCCGTTTGGCGAGGTGCGAGCGTCGGGAGACCGACTTCCTCTACATACATACATCAGGCAGCGGTGGCGCGCGAGGGGGATCTCTTTGCGTCCCCACCGGCCTCGTGCCCCGGCTGGCTGCCTCTAGGATGGTAGGTGCTGTATCGGAGTCGGGCGGCGCGAGGTGGGTCGACGAGGGGGAAAGGCCGACCGAGGGGGAAAGGGAGAGGAGGTGGGCATAGGGGCAGAGGGGCGTCCCGTCGAGGTGCGCGGAAGGCTTTGACTGCGCGGCCCGCGGGTCTTTTTGGTTGGGCCTGGCCTGCATGCCGTGCCGTGCCGCCGGCCCTGAGCGCGTGGTGCGCAGCTGCGAGTTTCGGCCGCTCCAGCATGACCGGGCGCCGTGCGTATATGTACAACCTAACGTCGTACGTTGGTCGAGGACGAGATCGTCCTGCCTCTGGCCTAGGCCGCCTCAGGCCAGCCTGGGCGCCTAGCCTGCGAGCGTCGGCAACGTAGATCCTGCATCTGGCGCCTTTTTAGCCCAAACCGTGCGTGCACCGCGGCCGATGGTCCGACGCAGCGATACGTACGTAGTTACAGCTGCACGTACACACACGCAACACACGCACGCACCTCGATCTTCTGCCTTGCTCGCCTCGTTTCAGGCCGCCGGCCCGCCCATCGGCGTCTTCAGTTGCTCGACGCACCAAAGCTCGGTTCCGAACAGAGTGGCGCGGCCGCTGCGACTGCCTGGCATGCGCGCCGCAATCGCTGCCTCGCTCTAACACACTACACTAACCCTCAAAATCCTACACTTGCTCGCTCGTGCCAGCCTTTCCGCCGGCCCCCCCTGCCTCCGGCATCCCTACCAGCCTACGGTACCATGCCGCCATCAGTCTCCAGCGCCGGCCACACCCTCGGCCAATTCACCGTCGCCATGATCCGCTGCCTTGTTACGTCGGCATGATGCCATCGGTATGTAACGTTGTCCCCATCGCACTCCCGACAACTTCGGCTCGCCGACCTGCGTCGCAAGCCCGTTGTCGTCGTCCACATCTCCAGGTCGCCGAGCGTGGCTCGACAGGGCGCAGCGTGGCTCGACAGGGCCCAGCGGCGTTCCAGAGGCTGACGGTCAGGTGCCGGTAGTTGGCAGACGTTAACGACTGCGGATCCGCGCAACGACTGCCTCAAGTCCCCGGTCCCACCATCACCCTGCCCTCCACGACATCCATCGCCACCGCTAAGCGTAAGTACCGACCTGACCGCGTCCATCTCAGCGACCCGGGGGGAGCTAGCTAGCATGAGGGAGCTAGCTAGCATGAGGAAACAGCACGAGAAGAATCTTCTGCCACCGAGGGACGGTCTCCTCCATCGTCGACGACGACCGCGAGGACCACCGTCCCTGGGATGAAGACCGAACGACGACGAAATGGTAATTTGCAATCTGATCTGGCTCCCCGGGCTCGTACGGCGGGAGGGCGACGAGACAGGGTGCTCGCTCATGATCATGGCGGGCGCGGATGGTTGCGCAGAGCGTTGTCCGACGTCCGAGATGCACCGGACAGCATGCTGACCCCGTCCGACTCCCTTGTCCCTCCCTCTTGTCTCGTCTTGTCCTCGTCCTCGTGCACTTGCAGACCCAAACGCAGTCGTAAGTCCTGGCCACTTCTCCTTTCGTTCTAGCCCGTCACCTGTAGCTCCATCGAGTCCGCGCCTCGAGGCTATGAGAAGCAAACAATCAGAGACTCGTCGACTTAGCAGACACTGCCGGGGCGGCCACGACGCCGCGCCGAGAGGGTCAGAGTGATTATCGTGATCAATTCGTCATCGGGGTAACTGGGTAAATGGGATGGGACGGCGAAAGAGGAAGCTGGTGCACAAAAGATGCGCGCTCCTAGACCGTGTGCGATCCGGAGGCGTAGGTCAGACCCGCCCGTCGATGGGTTGACAGGCGTCTTGTGTGGGCCGGCTGGTTGCGTGGAGGAGCTTCACATGCGGGACAAGATCAGGAGCGAGTCAAGACTTGAGGGTGCTGCTGTGCGTGCTTTAGCAGCAGTCGCAGTTCTTGCAGTCCTTGGTGCACTTGCAAGTCTCGCCCTCGGCCTCGCACTTGCAGCCCTTCTTGGTGTTGGCTGTCGTCGTCGTCGTCGTCGTCGTCGGTCGGTCGCAGGACAAGGGAGTGTTCAGATGGAGGTCAGTCTCTGCTCTGACCTGCGCGCGCAAAGGCCCCGGCTGCATCGTATCAGCAGTTCGGGAAGGGAAGCCAGCGAGACACTCACCGTTGGAGCAGGCGCAGGAGCTGTCGCAGCCCTTGCACGAGCAGTTGCCGGGGGTGCAGGTGCAGGCGGAGCCGTTGGCCTTGCACGAGCAGTTGGCGGTCGAGGAGCAGCAAGCCATCTTGTCGAAAAGTGTGTTGTGAGGGTGGCGAGTGTTTGCTTCAAAGGCGGTGGTACGTTTGAGAGGAGGCTTGGCGGATGCGATGAGGATGGGGAAGACGGAGGTAGTGGTCCAGAAGCGAGGGTCCCCTGCTTATATGTGTCGGGACGAGGCGGAGCGGAGAGGCCCGAGCAACGTGCGGGCGAGCGGGTCTGGAGGCGGCGGGCCTGCCTCGTTACGGCGTGAGTGAGCGAGCGAGGCGGGCAGGCAGGTAGGGATGTCGTGTGCGGATTCGGCCGCCCCTTGCCTGAGCGCACCAGCTTGCTTGCTTTCGACGGACGACACAGACGAGATGCCCGCCTGACCGCCTCGCCGCACGGTGCCCTTGCGCGGGCAGAAATCGCTCAAATCCTGCTGGCTCCCCCGGCCAGAGCGCAAGGGAGCTGCGCGGCTTCCGCCCCGCCCCGTCTGGCCTTGGCAGGCTGCGTCACTGCGGCCTTTCCGCGTTTTGCGCGATTTTAGCCCAATTCCGGATCCGCACACAGAGGCCTTCGAGTGGCGCAGCTTTCGCCCGCGCCCCAAATTCACCGCCGCCTAGCCGCATCGTCATCATCCTGACACGACAAGCAGCAAAACTCGGCTTTTCAACGGCGACGATCAGGCGGCTGTTGGATCCCGTGGACGGACATGAATGATTGACTTGGCATTGCTTGCTTTGCTTGCGCTTCGATAATGATTGTGGTACCGTGCAGGGACACCGGATGCGTGTATGTGCCTCTATTCCAACTGCCTCTGCCGCTGCTTCTGCCGCCGCTACTGCTTGACCGGCCGGAGCGAGTTGTAATGCTGACGGTAAGGAGACGGTGTGAGCAGGAACATGTCAGCGGGCGGGCGGAAGGGCGGGCAAAGTTGTCTTGCGAAGGCGTCAGGGCGATGCTCACCTCGCCGAGTCCATACATCTTGCGGTGATAGCTGTGTGCGGAGACGGAGGTGAGATTCCGATTGCAGCAGCAAGGTTCAGTCCTTTGTTGGTCGCCGTCCACCGCGAGGTATCGAAGCTGGCGCGGCGGTCGGAGGACGGTGCGGCACTCACGAGATGGTCAGGGGCTCCCCCTGGTACTCCCCCTCGCCGACCTTGAGCACCGGAGAGCCGGCTTGCACGACGTTGATCTGCGTCTGAAACGCCCGCGACAGGGCCAGGATCTCTGGCTGACCTCCCCACACGCCCGTGCTTTCGATGGCGTCGCAGTACCGCAGGAAATGGTCTGGAGCGTGATCCAAAGTCGAACCTCGTCGTCAGCGCTCGAGCTCCCGCGATGCCATGCCTGACCAGGTCCGCTGCGACAACTCACTGGTCTGCGCTTTGCCTTCGTCGGTGTGACCCGCCTCCTTGTTGTCGATCCCCGCCATGTACTCGTCTGAGTCCGAGATGAACGGCACAAAGTCGTCCGGATGCTGGCGCATCATGTCGGCCGTCGCCTTGCGCGTCTGCTTGTAGTCGACCTTGGAGCTCGACTTGCCGCGGAACATGAGCTGGTCGGCCACAGCAGCGTACAGGCTGGCAGGGACAGAGAGAAGGGGGATCCGACAAGGAATCAGTCTATGGCTGTCGTCTCGCCGCCGACAGTCCGCCATTCGCCACGGGATACGCACCAGTGGCCATCGGGCGTGATCTCGTGCATCTGCACCCCCAACGCTGCGCACATCGCGTCGATGCCCTGCCTCTCGATCGCCGCCTCGTCCGGCTTGCCTCCATTGGCCTTGAGCTCGGCCTCGACTTCCCGGCGCATCGCTTCTTGCTCGGCCGCCTTCTTTTCCTGAAGGATGCCGAAAGAGGCGCAGCGTGCAAGCAGGCAGGTTCGAGACGGATTCCGTCAGCTGCGGTGCTGGTCGACCAGCCGCCGCTTCGCCTCACACGTCCCCGCGCCGGCTCACCTTCCTCTGCTGTTGTCGGCTCTTCTTCTTGCCCGTGCCCGCTGGAGGCGTTGGCTCGGAGCTGCTGCTCCCCTCGTCTGGCGACTTTGGGCTGAACATCCGCAGCAGGCCACCCTTCTTGGCCGAATTGGGACTGGTGCCCGGCGAGGCGGCGGCATTCTGCGATGGCGGCGAAGAACTGCCCTGCAGCCCGTGCAGGATCTTTTCGCCGGCTTCCTTGATATCCTGGCGGAAGTGGTGGCCGCCGTTTTCCTTTTCGGCCTGGGCGGCCTGGGCCTTCTCCGCCTCTAGGGCGTCCCGCTCATCTAGCGCGGCCAGCAGCTGGTCAGCAATGTCGTCTGCGCCATCGTCGGCAAAGGGATCGACATGATCCTGTGCTGCCTGGATGCGGAGGGAGAGGAAGAGAGGAGGAGGCGGTCGGGGCGAGATGGACGAGCTTCAGCACCAGCATCGTCGCTCTGTCGTCTGCCCCCCACGCGAGCAGCAATTGTTGCTCACCGCAATGTCGGCGCGCAGGGAGTCGTTGGCTCGAGGGTTACCCGGTCGGGACTTTTTGTTCTTCTTGCTCGGCATGGCGTGAGCGATGGAATCGACGAGCGAGGGTGCAGGACGAGGAGCGAAAGGAGATCCTGGGCGTGTGGTTACGGGTGATCTTCGTTGTGAATGCTTTCCGCGGGGCTAGCTTTGATCTTCTATCCTGCTGCTGTCGCCTGTTGTATGTTATATGGGCCGAATGGAAGCGTGTCGAGGCGAAGAGGGATGGATGACTTGCGGGCAGGAGCGATCAGCACGGCAAGGACGATGCCGGTCTCGACGTCGAGCGGCGTCATGGGCGCCCTTGGCACGAGCGCCGCCGACGTAGGTCTGAGGGCTGCCTGGGCTGCCTGGCCTGGCCTGCCTGGTTTTTTAGGCGCAAGGGTCCGCCCGCCAGCCACTTCCGGCTTCCGGAACCGCAGGCGAGCTGCCCCCCATCCCTGGTCGCAGTGCAGCCGGTTTGCTGGCCGCCACCACCATCCTCGACGCATTCGCCCTGCCCCCTCCCTCGTAGCATCGCTCGACCCCGATCAGCACCTTATCCGCTCCCGCTATCGCCATGTCTGAGCCCAACGCGGCCGCGGGCAAGTCCGATGGCAAGGCCGCAGGGGAAGCGACGGCTCCAGCGGTAACGACAACGACGACCACGACGACGACCACGACCACGACGACACCAGCAGCAGCTGACGCCGAGTCGCTGTCCAACTACCTCACCCACCCGAGCCTCAACCGCGAACAGGCACGAACAGCTGCCGCTCCAGCTCCAGACGCAGCTCAGCCCGGCAACCGGCTGTACATCGGCAACCTACACCCATCGGTTGACGAGTATGTCCTGATCCAGACCTTCAGCAAGTACGGCAAGATTGCCAAGCTCGACTTTCTCTTCCACAAGGCGGGCCCGATGAAGGGCAAGCCGAGGGGATACGCGTTCCTCGAGTACTCGAAGAAGGAGGAGGCCGCCCAGGCCGTCATCGAGACCAACAACCGCACGCTCAGGGGCAAGCCGCTGTCGGTCTCGTTTGCCAACCAGGTGCGCAGAGCTGCCTATCGCCGTGGTCCCCCTTTTTCGGACTTCGCAGGCCCGCGACAGCTCGCTGACGCCCCTCTTGCCTCATCGCCTCTGTCTGCCATCACACGTGCCCGTCCACCCGTCAGGCCCAGTACACGGATTCGAAGCAGTTCACTGGCGGCGTCGGGCCGCACCGTCGGAGAGACGCCGACGTGACCAAGACGACGACGCTGAGCCTCGTCAAGAATGCAAGCCTGCCAGAGGGGTGAGGACGCCGAAGCTCATGTCGAGGTCGGCGCGACGAGACTCTTCGGCTGACCATCTTTTCCTGATGTCCGCATCTGAACACCGCCGCGACGACAGGACCAACGCCAAGATCTCTGCCATGGAGGCCAAGCTGGCCCAACTTCGGCAGGCGCGCTCCAAGGGCGGCACGGCCTCCGGCTCACCCTCGCCTGCTCCCGACGGCAAGGGACTGGCGTCGCTGCCACCCAGACCAGCAGCGTCGGGCAGCAATCGAGGCGGCAGCAGCGGCGGCAGCGGCGGCAACGGCGGCGACTCGAGGAGGCGGCTCTGAGCGCCGGGCCCTTCCGACCGAGATCGACAGCCATGGCTCTGACGGCACGACCTTCAACTACTGTACTTGTACGCAGCACCTGCACCTGTATCATCATGTCACGACAATCGTTTCCCATATCCGCGGCCAGGGCAACACTACCAGGTCTACATCGATTCGCCAGAGCGCGACGAGGCTGGACAGCGGCACAGAGGAAGCGGCCGACGACGGAGGCGATGAGGCCGTCCGCACGTCGTCAGCGATCCCCTGGCGTACGTTCCGGTCGTTGCGGGAGACGGGTGGTAGGCGAGAGAAAGGGGGGAGGGAGGGAGGGAGGGGGGCATGTCCCGAAGCAGTATGGCTCCGGATCGCCCTCTATGCCACAGCGATCCAGATTCCTATTGCGCTCCGCAGATATCACATCGATCTCGTCCACCGCAGGTCCGCAGCCCCGTAGGACTGACGAACCCTTGGCACCCTGGTATGAAACTCGCCTTTGAGGTCGCGAGTGGGTGTGGCTGGTAGCTGCGAGATCGAGCGCGACAGAGGCGAGAAGACGGCGGCAAGGGTGTCCAAGAGTGTAAGCCGCCTTGCCACAAGCTCTAGACGACGATAAGATGAAGAGTCCAGATCGAGCAGGGGAGCCGCACGAGGGCAGAAAGATGGGAGAGAGACTCACACTTGCGTTTTTGATCGAGAGAAAGAAGGGAAGGCGGCCTTTGGCGAGGCGCCGGTGAGGACTTTATACGGCTGGCCGACGGCGGGCCAGGCTGCTGGATTCAGCCGCCGCCGCCGTTGTTCTTTTCGCAATTTTCTTCGCGGGCCGCAGTCCGCTCCCTGCCTGGGCGTGGCTGGCAGGCCCCCGGCCTGGATTTCGGATCCTCGACTCGACTCGACTCGGAGCGCAGGCTGGCCGGTCCTGTCTTTCCGTGCGACAGGAAGAGGGGATCCAGCGTCAGCCTCGAAAGGAAGAAATCGGCGCATGGCCTGTCGCAAGAGATAGAGGCCCTGCTGCTGCTCGTCGTGATCGCTGGCACCGGCCACCATTCCCCCATCACCTTCCCTAGTCCCGACACATCTCCACTCTCCGCGCACAGAAGCGACATCGACGACGGCGACGACCACAGCGCGAACGCCAACTGCGACGGCACCCGCACACTTCACGATGGCCTCGTTGCAATCCACCCGGTCCGCCTGGACCTCTTGCTCTCGTTGCGTCTCGGGTGAGTGCTTCCCGAGTGAAGGAGGAGGAGGAGGAGGGTGGGG